AATTTGTTGCCAAATTAAAAATATATTTAATGCACACAATGTTATTATTGAGTAAATTGTCCAGCAACTGGCAGCCATGAAGAGATACTCTGTGAATTTTGAGATAGAACATAGAACATAGAACTGTACAGCACAGTACAGGCCCTTCGGCCCACGACGTTGTGCCAAACTTTTACCCTAAACCTAAGGTCTATCTAACCTCCACCCCTACCTTATACTATCATCCTTATGCCTATTTAATAGCCATTTAAATGCCCCTAATGAGGCCGACTCCAGTACCCTCTCCAGCAATGCATTCCACGCCCCTACCACTCTCTGAGTAAAGAACCTACCTCTGACGTCTCCCCTATATCTACCTCCACTCACTTTAAAACTATGCCCCCTCGTATTAGCTACCTCCACCCTAGGAAAAAGTCTCTGGCTGTCCACTCTATCTATACCTCTGATCATTTTGTACACCTCCATCAAGTCACCTCTCACCCTTCGTCGTTCTAAAGAGAAAAGCCCTAGCTCTCTCAACCTTTCCTCGTAAGACTTTCCCTCCATTCCAGGCAGCATCCTGGTAAATCTCCTCCGCACCTTTTCCAACGCTTCCACGTCTTTCCTGTAATAAGGCGACCAGAACTGGACACAATACTCCAGATGTGGCCGAACCAGGCTTTTGTATAGCTGGAACATAACTTCATGGCTCTTGAACTCAATCCCTCTATTAGTGAAAGCTAACACACCATACACCTTCTTAACAACTCTATCCACCTGGGTGGCAGCTTTCAGGGGACTGTGGACATGAACCCCGAGATCCCTCTGCTCCTTCACACTGCCAAGAATCTTTCCATTAACCCTGTATTCTGCTTTCAAATTTGTCCTTCCAAAATGAATCACCTCACACTTTTCAGCGTTAAACTCCATCTGCCACTTCTCAGCCCAGCTCTGCATCCTATCAATGTCCCTTTGTAACCTAGAACAGCCATCCGCACTATCCATGACTTGACCCACCTTCGTATTGTCTGCAAACTTACTAATCCACCCTTCCACTCCTACATCCAAATCATTTACAAAAATCACAAATAGAAGAGGACCCAGAACAGATCCTTGTGGTACACCGCTCATAACTGAGCACCATGTTGAATATTTTCCGTCCACGACCACCCTTTGTCTTCTAAGAGTCAGCCAATTCTGAATCCAATCTGCCACTTTTCTCCCTATCCCATGCCTCCTTACTTTCTGCATGAGCCTACCATGGGGAACCTTATCTAACGCCTTACTTAAATCCATGTATACCACATCCACTGCTCTACCTTCATCCATGTGTTTGGTCACCTCTTCAAAGAATTCAATAAGAGATATCACAGTTTTCTGAAGGACTAATCTCAAAAATCTGAAAACTTGTGGAATTTGACATTAATTGCCAAAGAAATTTGCTGCAAGATATTCGGTCAATAAGTAACAGAACATCTACTTTTTCAAGGATGAGATGTATGACCCTACATTGAACTCTGCAATAAGACAGGGAAAACTAAACTGTAGAGCCTCACTTTTGCAGATGGTAAATTAGTGCTAAAGATTTTAAAAAGTTTTTTCTTTTCTGCTTCCTTTCTATCTCCTCTCTTCATTTCTATTTCTATATCCAATGTAACTTTAATTAATACTACTTTCTTTCTTTAATGCTGTTTCGTTCTCAATCCTTAAATCTTATGGCTTATGGAAATAGACTGTTGGTTCTGAGGAAGGGTCAATGGACCTGAAACATCAACTCTTGATTTTTTCTTCACAAATGCTGCCAGACCTGCTGAGCTTTGCTAGCAAATTCTGTTTTTGTTGTTGTTGGTTCCATTGTTCAATTAATGCCCCTATTGCCTTTGTCACTCCACTGTCAGTTCACACTTATAGCAATTTATAACTAAGTATTTTTCAAAATTAAAAGTCTGGGAAAACGTCTAACCAAAGGGGGCCTGCCATTAGATGCTCCACTCTGGAAAATTGTGGGCCATTAAATAAATATATTGGATCAATTTTACTTTACCAAAATGATGGAACTGACGATAAATTCATCACAGGGGCACAAAGAATGGAAAGGAAAACCAAGACTCAAAATGGATAAGACATCAGGATCAAATGGCATTCACCCTAGACTGTTGGAAATGGTCTAAGTGGGATTTAGAGACTACAATTACAACTTTTCCAATCTCTTTAGAAGACAAATTCTGCTGTGGAAAAGAATGTTGTTTAAGACAGAAGAAAAAGACAACTACAGGGCAGAAGCATAAGGGCAACATCATCCGTAACAAAAACAGATGAATCTATAATTTGAAATAAAACTACTGACCATTAAAAATAAATTGAAGGCAAATAATCTTTGACAAATGTATTTCATAGAGTTTTTTCAAAGAGGTTACAGACTGGATAGAAAAAAAGGAATGCCATAGATGTATAAATACGGAATTTCAGAGGTTTTAAGAAAGAATGCTAGAAAGATTCAGATGTAAAGCATGTGTGTTTGTGCGTAGTCACTCATAACAAGATTAATACTTGCTCATGGCAAAAACCTGAGCATGGACTCTTTTAGCATGGGGAAACATTTGCACTGGACCTACCACACAATTTTTGCTGAAACTCTCCCACTTTTTCTCCATGCCAGAACATATCAGAAGGGTTTGCAGATTGATACCTGTTTGACCATGTATGACAAAACTTCCATGGTCATCAAATCTGGAGGTGGTCTGGAACCTGGAGATTGTGGCACAGAGATAGAGACACTACCATTGTGTGCAAGACCTGCCAGGTAAATGGTTTAAAAAATGTAACAATATAAACAGAATGATGGATTAAAAACAATAAATAATGAGGTGGAGTAATTGGCTGCTGCCTGGATAGAATGGTTGGAAGTAATGTAGCCTGGAGTGCGTGTTGGGTCCACTTTTGTTCTCAGTACATATTAATTATTTACACTTGGCAACAAGAAAGGTTTCCAAATATGCAGATGTCAAACAAATGTAGCAAGAACTGCAAGTATTCTGCCCATATTCCAGCTTGCTCCAAACCCCATTCACATATTATCTCTGTGCTCTCTTACTTATATTGGCTTCTGGTACCTCAAATGTTTCAAATTGAACATTCTTAGCCTTGTGATTAAATCCTTCCATGACTTTTTTCATATTTCTCTTGCTTCCTGTAATTATAAAGACCTCTAAAGAGGTCTGCATCTCTTCACCTCAATATCTTTCAGGATTCTGAAATCCCTTTGCCCCAACATTGGTAACTGCACCTTCTGGTGTCTAGGCCTAATACTATGGTACTAAATTCCTAAATGTATTAGTTCCTCTTCAAAATTAAGGTATCTCTTTGACCAAGCATTTTAGTCACACATCCGTTGATTTAGTGTTAGTGTTTGTCTTATTATCCTTCTGTGAACTGGCTGATGATATTCTTTAGATTAAGAATAAGATGAAATTGTGAAATGCTGTTGTTCAGAAAGACAAAAAAAACTTAGTCATGGAATGGGCAAATAGGTAGCACATGTAAATTAATATAACTAATTGTAAAGCTGTACATATTTGGATGGAAATGAAAGTTGAGAGTTTACATTTAATGTTTAGATGGTGAAGATACAGATGAACAGAGAGTAAACTTCTCCACGTTGAACCTCAGGGATAAAATGTTTAATTCCTCCTATGCAGTGCCTTGAGAGGTTTTATTGCATTAAAGGTGTGATATTTCTGACTTGGAACTGTATTGACATTTCTTCACTGTCACTGTGTCAAAATCCCACATTGTGAGTGTACCTACACCACATGGAGTGCATCACACAGCATATCAAGAAGGCAGTCAGCACCTTTGCAAGGGAATTGAGGGATAGGCAATAAATGCTGCCCTAGCTAGCAATGTCCATATCTCATGAAAAAATTTTTAAAAACACAGTTGTTGTTGCAATTTCTTTATCAACCTGCATTTGAGAATGTTATACTTTTCTCCTATTTATAAAATACAATCATAAATTTATACAAAACATTGTACTCTAACAATGCTTTAAAACGACCATGGCACCGATAGAAAGGACACTCAAGTTACTAAAACCAGAAAAGTTAGATTCACAGCTATGAGGAAGAAATTGCAACACCAAGAATACTTCCAATGAAGCTCTGCCAGGCATACACTAAGAAAGGAATACGACTTCTTTGGAAAAAATACAATTGGCCTTTAAGTGATAGGATAGCTAATGATTGATAGCAATTGGTTTTATATAGGTAAAAGTATAGAGATGGCAAATAAGCATTGGAAGATCAAAGTTACAGTCAGAGTTGTAATCTGATTTTATTACTAAATAGGAAGGGAGAGCCGTCCTTTCTAATCTGTTAAATTACAAAGCCAAACAACACAAAGGATACTGAAACAGCTGCAAAGTAACAGGAACTGCGGTTTTCTCATTCTTATTATTTAATTCAGCACTGAAGAAAGTAACAATCTGGAAAACTAAGTCATGATCTGGAACGCATTGCAAGGCAGTGGAAACAGATTTAATTATGGCTTTCAGACTTGAAGGGCCAGATTTTGCAAGGCTTTCAAAGAGCCAGCACAAGCAAGATGGACCAAAAGGTCCAAATGGACCTTCTTTTCAATAATCTAATTCAATGGCAAAGAATAGTTAACTTTGCTGAGGTATTTATCTCCTTTCAACATTAGCTCTGACGAATGCTTATAGCGCTCAAAGGGTAACCATTCCACCGCAGATGCTACCTGAACTGTCAAGTGCAACCAGAAAGATGTTTTTAATTTGCTGTTTGACAACTAAGCCCGTCGGTTGCCGGGGCGCTAAAGCAGATTCCGGTGAGTTTTCGCCTCTTTGAGGTGATCACCACACGGAGCAGAGTCTCCGACAACTTGATCTGAGTAAACGGACAAATAAAAAACGCAGATCTTGGAGCTAACAGCCACCGGGGGCCAAGAAAGTTGCATCCCCGAAAGCTCTGACACAGAAAAGTGAAACCGATCATATTGCCTACTTTCGTTGGGGATTTCCTCTCTGTCTGGGTCGGCACTGATCCCCGTGCTGTCGTCTGTCAAGATTAAAGGGACATCATCGTCGACAGGCAGCGTCACCGCCATCGCGCTGTATATCCCCACACCTCAAACTGTCGCCGCCGCGGAGGAAGGGGGGTGGGGCTGTGGGGGAGGAGGGAAGGACAGCAGAGGGCGGGACCCTGATCCACATCTTGCCGGTGATTGGTCCAGACCGACGGTCGGTCTGGCGGGCTTGCACTAGAGGAAACGTCAATCAAAAGCGCGGCGTCCAACAGGTTCGCGTGAAACCCGCCTCCTCCCACGTGGACGGCGCGGCCAGCGGGTCAGAGGGAAAAGGTCGTCCGTCTCTTAGCAACGGAGTAACCGTCGCTGGCAAACAGAAGGGCGGAGATAGGTGAGTGCGTCCGTTCGCGGCCGAGGAATCCTTTAACCGGAAAGCACCGGGGTCGGCGGTGGCGGGGGGATCGTCACCATCCCGTTAAAACGAGCTGACGAGCGGTCTCTATGCCTCAGAATGAGGTTGAATGTTCTCAGGCAGAATATCTGAGAAATCAGAAAGTATCCGGAGCTCACTGCCCGACAGGTTTCTAGAGTCAGGAATCCTTAATACTGTACTGGCCAAGTGGTGGAAAATGGAATCCGAATAGATGGATGTTTGATGACTGGCGCGGATAAGATGGGCCGAAGAGCCCTTTTTGCGCTATTAAAATCTCTATCACTACGATTCCTGTTAGGCAAGGGATCCGAATGCAATCCGAGTAAAAGGAACTGTAGAATTCAAAACATAAACAAATCAGCTTAGATCATTATCGAACAGCGATAGGCTTGAAGGGCCGAATGGCTCCGAATTGGTATGTTCCTGAGCTGATGTCAATTCCTGGAGAAGATTAGTGGCCACCCACAGTGTTCGTCCAGCCTGATATAGAGCTGGGCCTTATGGTCTCGGGAATCAGTAAACTCCAATGTATGCTCTTGACCCTTGGATCCTTATTGTCCCTTCAGTCTGTCATTTGAGGCAGCCCATATCAACTTAACACCAAGGCATTAATTATGACTTATCAAGTTGACTGCACTGGGTCTGAGAGACTTCTGACTCAGTTCCAGGTAGCCATGCACAGCATACATTCTTTATTATAGTTAGTGGTTGTAAAGTCCTCTTTTAAATTAATTCGTGAAATATGGACATCACTGGCTGGACCAGCATTTATTGCCTCTCCCTTGTTAATTTCAGGAAGGTGATGGTGAACTGCTTTCTTGAACTGCTGCAACCCATGTGCTACAGCTAGAAAATTGAACATAATACATTGTTTTGATCTGGAAATCAACACTAAATACCACGCTTAAGTATTAAAAACCCTTGTCCTTCCTGATTTTTGTCTTTTTGGTCATTCTTCACATAGCAACTGTGATCATAGGGCAAGTATGTGTGTACTTTATTTTGACCATTTGTACAAAATTCTTTGTGGAAATCAACTTATGGATGTTTATTGTACTTCAGTGGGAGTATGTTTCTGTAAGATCAAGCATTTTTGAAAAAAATATAATTTACATTTATATATGATGGTACAGTTGACAAAGACATAAATAAAGCTGCACATTACTGACAAGTGTCAACTTTACAAACTAAGTGGCAGCCTTATCACCCTAAAACTCAGCAAATGAGGAGGTTAGTGCTTAGCTTTGGAATGTGTTTTTCAGGAAAGCTATCAGACAGATTTGACACTGAGCCGCACAAGGAGATATTGGGACAAGTGGTATTAAGGATCTAATTAAAAGGAGGAAAGAGAGAGGCACAGAGGGAGGAAATTCATGGCTAAAGGCAAGAGCACCATTTGTTGAGCGATGAAAATCAAGCCTGTGCAAGAGACCAGAACTGTAGAAACTGACAGAAATCTCAAAGGGTCGTAAGGCTAAAGAATTCAATGCCATAGTGATGGGTTTGAACACAAGAATGAGAATTTTCACTTGAATAAAGGCAAAATTGCTGGGAATCTGAAGCAAACACAGAAAATGCCACAGATGTTACCAGACGTGCTGAGTTTCTCCAGCATTCTCTGTGTTTGTTGTTGAATGAGACTTCAAATCGAAGCATTTCTGATCCAGGAACCAACGTGCACATGTGAGCACAGGGATGATACATGAACAGGACTTCGTGCAAGTTAGGACAAGGATGTTTTGAATGAACTCAAGTTTACGGAGGGCGTAAACGGGAAAAACTGTTTAAACAAAAATCAAAAATGTGTACCTATATATTCTAAACTATTTTAATAATGTGAACTGATATGATTTATTATGGTTCACGTTATTATAAACTACTTGTTTTTGAAGTATACTAATGTATTACTCCTAAATATATTAATATAAAATCTTACTAAATGCCATCAATATATGTTATCTACATCAACCTCACGCAATGCATCCTCTAACTTTTTTTCACATGAATTCTAAAAATCTTACAGATCAAGTCTAATCTGTCCTTCTGCCAATGTTGCAATTTAAATGTGGCATGTTGGTAATACTCGTCTCAAAGTCAGAAATTGTGGGTTCAAGTCCCACTTGAGATTTGAGCGTGTAATCTAAAATTGCCATCTAATGTGGTACTGCATTGCATTGCCAAAGGTACTGTCTTTCAGATACATTGCTGAACTGAGGTTTATCCACTCAGTCATCTGAACATAGGAAAAACCCATGGCATTGACATGAAGAAGAACTGGGGTGGTTTTACTACCTAATGTTTACCACTTAACCAACATTGCTAATTTAAAATCCTGTTTATTGTTTATATTAATGATTAACCATGGAAGCATTTGAGGCACTAGGAGGGTCCAGTAACTGAACTGACCCCAATTTAACTTTGGCATATGGACCTCAGGCAGTGGTCTTTCCCACTGTGCCTTGGCAACAGCTGCCCCAAACTTTAGTGCATCCCTCAGCACGTAGTCCCGGATCTTGAAATGTGCCAGTCTGCAACACTCAGTTGAGGTCAACTCTTTGTTCTGGAGGACCAACAAGTTTTGAGCAGACCAAACAGCATTTTTCACCAAGTTGATGGTCCTCCAAGTGCAGTCCTGGTGTACGTCCTGGAGAACAGACCGTAGAGCACAGAGTCCTGTGTCACGGAGCTGTTCAGGATGAACCTCAACAAAAACCACTGCATCTTTCTTCAGACTTTGATCTCAGGGCTGTGGGCCATGTGGCTGATACTGTTCTGATGGGGGAATCCCTGCCTGAAGCACCATCTGTACTGGATCTCCTTTGATCAGTGAGGTTCTTGTATAGTTAGTCAATATTACCAGAATCTGCTGTCTTAAGAGAAAATGGTGTTTAATGCTTGAAGTCTTTAAAGTCTAAAGGGGAAAAAAAGTTGACTTATAGTTTCTCTTGAATATACGATAGAAGGAAAGAACACATCGTGTTTAACTTTTGATTAGCAGATGGGGTAGACATTATAGTCGATTGGTCTCTCTCTGTCTAGTACATGTATGATTCCAAAGAAGTACTTTAAAAACAGCACTGCTACAGACATTAGAAAATATATTGTTTTATGTTTCAGCAATACGGCCCACTGCGGATTTAAAGATATGAGAAAAATCTACAAAGAATAAAACAATGGCAAGTGAAATCATTGTACAGCATCAACAATTAGAATCCAATGCTGAAGAGAACATCAGTAAATCCTCAAATAAGTATGATGTATCTGTGCAAAATATGGCACCCAACCTGGATGCACTACGAATCTTGGAACCAGTTAGGAAAAAACTTGCATCAATTGAAGCAGAGCGGATTATTTCTGTAATTGAAAAGACTATTGATAAAATAGAAATAGTCACTTTGATTCCCTATATAATAAACAATCTCGATAGGTTCAGCATTGCTCTTGGTTTAGAGCTGACGTGTGCTCTAAGAGAACATGACAGACTAGAGAAACATCTGGATTTTGCTTTTAGCAGACTATTCAATGTAAAGTATCCTGCACAGGCAAGTGAGAATTCAATACACAAAATAAAAATGAAAGAGAAAAAGCAAGATATTCAAATCCTTCAACAGGCCTTTGGTACTTCAGTTAAAAACATCCTTCGGCTCTTTAAGGGGAATCCCCCAGCCTGTCAAATAATCCAATCAGAATGTCATGCCCGAAGTCGCACCTGTGTAGATCTCATCCTGGTGCTAATGGAACTGAGAGACTTTGTGTTTGAGAGACTTCTGATAACCCCCAATGAGGCTAAAGAAAAGTTTGAATATATGCAAAAAATCATTAAACGAGATAAGCAAAACACAGAAATTACAGCCACTTTGGAAGCCGAACTGACAGAAGCCATCCAAAACAAAGAAAATGAGGTAAACATATGCTCTGAATCTAATGTCTCATGTTGCTGTAGCAATAAATGCCATAAGTTGTATAATTCACACCCTAAATTTAAAGTCCATTAAAAATATGCATTAAGTTATATACTGGATTTTAAGATAAGTTTTAATATTGTGATTAGGGCATGTACAATGCCATCAAAAGTCAGCAATATCTTATATCTGGTACTTTTTAGCTCAGATGCTATAGATTCCAGTGCATGTATGAAAATAGATAGACTTGTTTAACGTACTGCATTTTGTATACATGTTGTAGTGTCAGCTTTCATATAATCTGTATTTTTTTTTAACCATTACACAAAAGTTATAAAGGTAAATAGTGGTAAACAGGGCAGATCTGATCCTTGGAGTTGGAAAGTACTGAAAGCACATTTTATCAGTTCCATGAAATGTTACAGTATGAATCCAAGTTGTTAATAGGAAGGGGTGGGAAGTGTATAATTATAGAGTCACAGAGGTGTACAGCACAGGAAAAGGCCCTTTGGCCCATTGAGTCTGCACCAGTCAGAAACAACCATCTATTCCAACCCTATTTTCCAGCACTTGGCCCATAGATTTGTATGTCTTGGCATCACAAGTTTACATCTAAATCCTTCTTAAATATTATGAGGATTTTGGCCTCTCCCATCCTAAGTGAGTTCCAGATTCTGACCACCCTTTGGGTAAAAATAAAATGCCTTACATCCCCTCTCAGCCTCCTACCCATTACCTTAAATCTATGACAGCTGATCATTGATCCCTCCATGAAGGTGAGAACTTTGAGGAAACAGACTATAAAGAGTAATGTTTAAAAGCATGGGGTTTGTTTAAATATAGGAATACCATATGTGATGTCAATCACTTCCTTATATGATCTCATTTCATGTTTATTTTTGTGGAAATTGAGTCCCAGTGTGTTGTATTGACCAGTACAGAATTGAGATTCAGGAGTACAGCAGTGAAACTGTTTTGTGGTCTGGGCTGCATCTTAAACATATGTGCTGTCATTTTTCTGAAGAATGACCAAATTAATGAAAGCAAGATAGTCTGCTCAGATCAAAGGCTGCAGACACACCTGTCAATTCCTCTAAGAAATCCTGTATGACCACTGCATGTCTAAACTTCACACAACCCCCTATCTAGATGTTTGTGTAATGCTGTGGTGAATGTGCTTCAATCTGCATGCTTTCCTCTGAGAGGTGTCATGCCCTTCACAGATATTCAACACTGAAAATTAGTTTGAATACTCCTCACGTCCAGAGGATTCCTGCAGTACCTGTCTGTTCCTACCTGCCTGACAACTATCCACTTACTTTTCTCCCAGAAAGTGGCTGTGGTGAACTTCTTTGGAATGTACACGACAGGAAATTCCCAACTTCCTTTTTATTCTTTAGTGACTTGAGCTACTAATCAAGCTCAGGGTAATTTTTTGAGGACACATGAAGTGCTGTGGAGTTCCCACAAGATGCAGGAATTGCAGGAAATGGTCTGTCATCCAACTATTTTATTTGAAAATCTCTGTACTATCATCATGTGTTTTAAGCTCAAAGGTAGATGCTTAACTCATTATCTGCAGATGCTTCATCTTAAGCATTTTCTTGGCAGTTTTTTCATGATGGTGGTTTGCCATTGTCTTCCACTCACAGGGCACAGCAAAGAGGTAGGTTCCAAATATACCTCAGTTGTGCTGATGGCATTATTCTGAATCACGTGCTAGCTATTGAGCTAACTGGGAAAACCAAGGTCTCACTCTGAGCTAAGAGTTTTCTAATCAACCTGTTCAGAGATATTATTACACACTGCTGGGAGTTGAACCCATAACACATAGTTCACAAATTGCACCCAAACTGCATGTTTGCCTTAACTAACATTCTAGCATGATAATAAGTCACCTTTACGGTCAAATTAAGGCTGTCAACTAGTCTTAAGGAAGAATTAATCTCTTTGCAAAATTTAAATCTCGAGTAGCACATGTTAGTTCCGCATTCTCCAGGATTACAACCTATGACCCCAAACTTATTCGTATGAGAGTCTCTTGAGTATCTCCTTCCATTTACCAAGATTGGTGACTGTGCATTTAACCTCTTAGGACATATCCTAATGCATTCTCTTGTTTTCCTTTTCCTCCTTTCTTCCCCTTAAAAGCCACCTCTTTGACTAAGCTATTGGTAATCCAAAGCCCTGCCTGCCTAATATCTCATTCTTTGACTTAGTCTCCATTTCGCACCCCCCATAATGCTCCTTAAACATCTTCAGACATCTTTCCACATCGAAAAAGAGTGAAAGTGCAAGCTCTTGTTGGCCTTAAAAATATTCAAAGACTCTTGCCACTTTTAAGGAAGAGAGTTCTAAATAGTCATGACTCAGTGTGAGAAATAATTTCTCTTTATCCCTGCCTTAAATGGGTGACCCTCGACTTTTAAATATTGACCACTAGTTCTAGTTCTCCCAAAACAGGAAACATTTTTTCTACATACAGCCTGTCAGGACAGCTCACGATCTTGTACAATTCAGTCAAATGGCCTCTTACTCTTTCATATTCCAGCACAGCCTAGTCTGTCTTCTTAAAACAACCTACCCATTTCCAGGTATTGTTCACCTTTTGTGAACTGCATCCAATGCATTTACAAAAATAACCAATACTGTACTCAGCACTTCAGATGTGGTCTCACCAACACCTTATCTAACTAAAGCACAACCACGCTAAACAATAACATTCTATTAGGTTTCCTAATTACTTGCTGTACCTGAATACTAACTTTTTATGACTCATGCACAGGGACACACAAATCCCTCTGCATTTTGGAGCTCTGGAATCTCTCACTGCTTAGCTAATATGCTTTTCTTATTTCTTCCTACCAAAAGAGACAATTTTGCACTGTTCCATATTATACTCCATTTGCTAAATCGTGGCCAATTCACTTAAACGATTTATAGAATTTTACAGCATCTTTATGTTCTCTTTTATAACTTATTTTGTGTTATCAGGACATTTGGCAACTGTACTTCAGTTCTATCATCCACATCATTTATATAAATTGTATACAATTGAGGTCCCAGCACCAATTCTTGTGGCACACCACTTGTTGTATCCTACCAACTAGAAAATTGACCCATTTTTACCTACTCTGTTTCCTATTATTATGCCTATTCAAATTGTTTTTCTTTGTATGTACTGCAGCTATATCAACAGATGTTGGTATTTTTGTTAGAGAAAAATTGGAGGACTACGTATCACCAAGGGAATGAAAAATTATATTCTGTGTTATATTTAATCAGCTTTTTGTTTTAAATATTTCTGTTGTAATGCAATAAAAATATTTTAAATAATTGCATCTTTAATTGTATGAACAGATGTTGAAGAAGAATGAGATAATTCGGAAACTCAAAAACAACTTACTTCAACTTGACTTGTTCTCACAAGATTACATTCGTCAAATTAAACAAGATGCAGAGAAACAACAGCTAAATGATCAGAAAGATTCAGAAGGGAAAATTGCCAAATACCATGAAGAAATAGCTCAGCTTCGAACTCAGTTGAACAACATGATAACAGAACACAGAGCATCTGAAGTAGCTTTAAGAAAGGTACAGTGTCATGCTGTAATAGGACCATTATCAATACAACCACACAATGTGAGCTGCAAATTTTATGGGAAATATATAATTATTTCTAGTGGCCAGGTGATTACTCAGCTTTTGAATAAAAATCCAAATTTATGGGAGCCAAAATAGATAATTTAATACCCAGAGTCAGTTTAATTATTTATTGAGATCATGGCTGACTTGTGACTGAACTCTATTTATTAACAGCTTTTTTCAGCAAGTATTTTTTATTCTTGCATCCAGTGTACATGTTACTGGCAAGGCTAGCATTTATTTTCCATCTCTAATTGCCCCAAGAATGTGGTAGTGAACCACCTTTTGGAACTGCTGCAGTCCATGGAGTACAGGTGCACATACAGCGTTGTTAGAGAGTTTCAGGATTTTGGCTTAGCAGTGGCAAAGGAACAGCGATTATAGTTCCAAGTCAGAATGGTGTTTGCTTCCGAGCATCTGCCACCCTTGACCTTCTTAATGGTAGAGGTTTTGGATTTGGAGGGTGCTGTTGAAGGAGCCACGGTGGCATGCTGCAGTGCACGTTGTAGCTGGTATACATTTCTGCCATGATGTGCTGGTTTTGGAGGGATTGAATGTTTAGGCTAGCAGATTGTGTGGCAATCAAGCATGCTGCTTTGTCCTGAAAGGCATTGAGCTTCTTGATTGTTATTGGAGCTGCACTCATCCAGGTGGAAAGTAATCTATCACACTCCTGATTTGGGCCTTGCAAAAAGTGGATAGGCACTGGGAGCTCAATGGTAGTTATTTTTCACAGAATTTCTTGCATCTGATCTGCTCTGCATCTGGTCAGTGGTAATCTCCAGGATATTGATAACATTAATGCCATTGAAAGTCAAAGGAAGGTGTTCAGATTCTGTCTTGTTGGAGATGGTCTTTGGCTGGCACTTGTATGGCATAAATGTTACATGCCAGACTGGATACTTTCCAAATTTTTTAGCATTTTATATATAAGCATTTTATTAGCCGCCTTGATTTTTTTTGTACTTACTCATGATATCTTTATGGTCCAAGTGCCTGGACTCCAGTTCACTTTGGACCTCCATTGATTCTAGCTTTATATCATTTAACTTTTCTGTCTTTTTAGGTCCAAAGTGGATAACCTTACATTTGCCTACATTAAAATCCATTTCCATAGTACTGCCTATTCATTTAACCTGTAAGAATCTTTGTAAACAGTGTAAATGAAAATATGAAATTACATTGCTTAAACTTGTGTATATATATGGCTTTCTGTCCCAATGTCGAAATATCAAGTGTCTTGTGCAGGTACATGTAAATAATGGTGATAGCTTGTTGCCTGCCCTCTACTTTAGATACTTTTAATCAAATGTTTAGACATTATCACACATCTCTGAGCAAGTGGGACTTGAACCCAGGTCTTCAGGGCCAGAGATCCGACCACCGCCACTATAGCATCCTAGGCTCAGCCATCTTCAATTGCTTCATCAATTCGCTTCCTTCCACCATAAGGTCGGGAGCCGAATGTTTGCTGATTCATTAAAGATTACAACTCCTCAGATACCAAAGTAGGCAGTGCCTACATGCAGCAAGACTAGAACACGGAGTTCAGAAGAAGGTTAAAGGATGATTTTCTTGTTATCTGGTTAAATTTTTTGTTGCTTGAATTTGACATCCCATATTTATGACTTACTTTAGCGAAAATACAAAATTGAAACAGAGATTGAAAACTGGATCCAGAAGTATGATGCTGACCTACAAGAAAAACAGGTATGTTTTGTTGCAAAGAATCATGAGCTCTCAAAGGAGGTTCTCTATTCATTTTTTATACAATAACTATTAAATTATTTTTCTTTATTGTTCTTGTAGTAAGATGCAACTTGTGACAGAATAAGGCATGGGTAATAGACGTTATATTAAAAATCTAATTAATACATTGATGAATATTTTTCAATAGTTAATACTGGCATCAAACCAGGTAACTGAATGATACAGCATTGTAAGAATACTTTTTCTGAATTGCTAGTATGAATTTTCCCAAGATACATTTGATCTTGCAAGAGCTTGTGCTATAATAGAAACCAGGCAAGTTTTCCCTGTAAAAATACATCAGCAAATTTTAGATAATCAGCTAAATTTTGTCTCTGAAATATAAATACAAAGATGCTAATGCTGATAAAGTTCTTCACTAGCAAAGACCAGAACAATCCAAAGTTTCATACAATCTAACTGTTCTGTCTAGCAGAGGGATTGGAAGAAAAATCTGTTCAATCTAAGTGAATAGAGAGAACTACAATTGAAGAGTAAAGACAAATCATCTAGAGTCAAAAATATTGAACCAGTGTCACATATGATGAGATGTTTCTTGTTCTTGATTGAAATATATTGTCATAGAAAAAAATTACAAAGTCAATTTAATATGGTGTTTAAATGAATCCATTTGTCACTGGATTTGCTTTAAAATCCATTAAAAACAGTTCAGTTGGTTAGTGTTCATAATTGTTAAGTGCTTCACATAGTGTTACTACCAATGAATTACTAAAATGCAGTAAAATGTGTCTTCTAGGATGAATATGAACACCTCTTTAAAATATACAATGATGAAACGGTCCTGCTGTTTGAATTAGAACAAAAGATTGGCATGCTTGAACCAGAATATACTCAGATCGTGGAAGAAAGAAAAATTAAGGAAGAGAAGAAAAAGGCCAAAGAACATCAAACATTCCTAATGGGAAAAGCAGCTATCACAATCCAGTCTTTCTGGAAAGGTTACAAAGTCCGCCAATTAATGAAAGCATTGAAGAAGAAGAAAAAGAAAAAGGGAAAAGGCAAGAAGAAAAAATGAAGACAAGGAGGAGATTCAACAGCAGAGTGAGAGAAAGATGCAAAAAAATAAAAGTGCATATCCTCCCTTTTTTTGTATTCTATTGGAATGTCTTATTTCTATTAATACAAGCTGTAGCCTCCGAAAATTAATTATTCAATTCTTCTTGTGTGTGTAGCAGCAAATCTGATATCTACCTCAGTCACTGATTAAATTGTGTCCCTTTTTTTTCAAATTTTCTATTTTCAATTATTTACCCTCCTTAACTATCACCTCAAGAGCAATAAAGGATTGGCAATAAATGCTGGCGCAGCCAGCAAAGCTTGCATCCGATGAATGAATTTAAAAAAATAAAATTTCGCCAATAAATCTACTCAATAACATTGTGGCAAAAATTATTTTCCAAGATAGAATAATTATACTATACATTTTAACATAGCCATCTTACTTTGAATGTTATTTAATTCCAAGTAAGCAGATTAACAACTGCGGTGAGAAATAAAATGGAAAAAATTGCTTCATCTCTAGCACACTCACTTAGAAAAGCAAAGTCTCCATAAGCCTAAAATTTCATGCTTCACTCTGTGCCCAGCTGGCTTTACCCCTAGGTTTAAATTTTTATTCTGACATGGTAATGAGCCCACCTTCGATCTGCTTGACAATCACCCCACCTCAGTTATGTAACCAGCCTCATACCAAGCCTTGGTCTCACATCCATACCAGGCTGTTCTGCACAGGTGATTTTCTCAGCCTGTTGTGGGAGATTTGCTAGTATATTTGGAAATCTGATAAAATGTCCCATTCTGTACATGCACCGAATCTTTCATCTGAAAAATAAATCATTTATAAAAATAATGATGTGATAAAACAGAAATAAAACTCCACAGTCATTCAATTTATTTAGTTTTAATAACAATCTGTTGGAATATATATTTGTGCCGATTATTCAAACATGATTTGCACTATAATTTCTAAATCTACACTTGCTGGGCATTACAAAATGGAGAGACACTTCAAACTACTAGATATAGTGCAACAAAAAAATCAGCCTGTGTACTGGAAACTTGTAAATTATAAAATTACTATTTATTGTGGACATAAGGAAAAGACAGATTTTGCATTTATATGGCATCTTTCATACTGTTAGGATGTCTCAAGTGATTTATAGGCAATGAATTATGGGCAAATATGGCACGTAATAAGCATACTACACAACGCACAAACAGTTGCAGTGAGTTAAATATTTCCACGTCTGGGAACCAGCTATCAATCACTGCCCCACTGATTCTCAGTTACTTTGACTACATCTCCTCACATCCTTCTTCCTGCCAGAATCTGTTATGTTCTCCCAGTTTCTCTATTTCCATTGTATTTATTCCAATGATGCCAGCTTCCACTGGGGTGTCTCCAACATGACTTACTTTATCCTGAACCAAGGTCCTCTTACTCCCCACCACCCTTGACAAAGCCTTCAGCTAAGTCAGACCCATCTCCTGCACTCTGCCCTTACTCCTTTCCCTCTGTCCTAGAATGATATTTCCCCATGTCCTTACTTTCTAGTCTCTACATTCTAAAGATCATCCTCTGCCAGTTCCGCCAACTCCAGCAAGACATTACCACCAAAAGTATGTTTCTCTCCCCTCCAATGTCAGCATTCTGCAAGGATCATTCCCTCTGTGACACCCTAGCCACTTCTCTATCACTCCTAACACTTCCTCACTTCCCTGTGACACCTTCACATGCAATTGCAGAAGGTGTAACACTTGCTCATTCACTGCCTCCCTCCTCACTGTCAAAGGCACCAGACACACCTTCAAGGTGAAGCAGCATTTCACTTGTACTTCTTTCAATTTGGTCTCCTGTATTCACTGCTCACAATGCCTTCTTCACATTGATGAGACCAAACACAGACTGGTGATCTCTTTGTGGAGCACTACCACACTGTCTGTATGAATGACCCCAAACTTCCAGTTGCTTGCCATTTCAATAAACATCTTGCTCTTATACTAGGAGATAGCAAGAACTGCAGATGCTAGAGTCAGAGTCAATACAGTGCAGGTCAGATGGAGAGTCTAGGCCTGAAACATCGACTCTCCTGCTCCTCTGATGCTGCCTGACCTGCTGTGTTCCTCCAGCTCCACACTGTATTGACTCTTGGTCTTTTACTAATATTTCTTTCTTGAGCCTGCTGCGATGGTCAGCAAAGCACAATGCAAGCTCGAGGAACAACACCTCATTTTCTGCTTAAGTACTTTACAGCGTCAAGTGCTGAATGTTGGATTCCCAAACTTCAGAAACTGACTGCATATGATGGCTGTTCTCCATTCTTCTTACATTGTCTCCAACCTGCTCCACAGCCTTGACTTTGCTCCGTAGAGAAGACCCATTCTTTCAAGAATTAATTTACACCCATTTTACATTTATTTTTCTTTCACCACCATTAACAACTCTTTGTCTTTTGCACTAGGCCTCTAAACTATCTGTTCCCTCCGTCCCTCCATCTGTCAAAAATGTAAAAAGTACTTTTTCCAACATCTTTCATTTCTGAAGAAATGTCATTTTGGATTTTAAACATTAACTCTGTTTCTCTCTCCAAAAGGCACCAGTAAATTTTTCTCTGAATTGGTCTTGTATAACTGAAAATGGATTTCCAATAGTACTAGTGCCAGTTGTATATTAATTTTTAAATAATTAATTATTTTTATTTGTTTTTATGATAATTTTGAGCTGCTAGGCTAGGGAAGAAGTGAGAATGCATTTTATCTGTATTTTACGAGACGTATCTGCTTTCAAACATGCCAGCTAGTTACTATAAAGCAAGCCTAAGAAAATTAATTTAGGGCTTATTATCCAAGAAACCCTATAGTACTGATATTGAGGAGATAAAAATGTACTCTTTGCTAACTTGGCAAAAGGCATTTTGGATAAAATTACTCCAATAACCTTGAGGCTGGGCAGCATTGATCATAGCCCCTCATCCCTGACGAAACCTCAAAGGGGAAGAACAGTTTTATGTTGTTTTAAGAGTTCTACTTATACGCACACTTTCTGAAAACTGAGGGCATGCTCTGTTATTGTATCATCTGTTGCCCATTCTTCCCTTAGATGCCCTATATTCTGCTGCATGAAGACAAACACAGTGCCGGAGACCTCGGTTCAAATCCAGCCTTAGGTGACTGTCTGTGTTGAGTTTGCACAGTGTGTTTTGAGTTTGATTTATAAAACCATAAGGGGCATAGATAATAGCCAAAGTCTTTTTCCCAGGGTAAGAGAGTCCAAAACTGATGGCATAGGTTTAAAGTGAGAGGGGAGAGATTTAAAAGTGACCTGAGGGGCAACATTTTAAGAAAATGTTCCAATTTATCTTTCTTGAAACCAAAGTGGATAACCTCACATTTCTGAAAACTGAGCTTAGTTTGCCAGTTTTATCTACTTACTGAAACAAACAAGATCTTTGATTGAAATTTGTAATTAATAGGATTTTAAACCAGCAACCATCAATCATGAGGGGCATGGATAGGGAGAATAGCCAAGGTCTTTTCCCCAGGGTAGGGAAGCCAAAAACTAGAAGGCATAGGCTTAAGGAGAGAGGGGAAAGATTTAAAGGGACTTAAGGGGCAACTTTTTCACACAGGGGGTGGTGTATGTGTGGAATGAGCTGCGAGAGGAGGTGGTGGAAGCTGGTATAATTATAACATTTAAAAGGCATCTGGATGGATATATGAATAGAAAGGGTTTAGAGGGATAGGGGCCAAATGCTGGCAAATGGGACTAGATTAATTTAGGATATCTGGTTAACATGGACAAGTTGGACCTAAGGGTCTGATTCTGTGTTGTACATGTCTATGACTCTAAAAGATCATTGTTGTTCCTCTTGAGGGCCATCTCGAAGGATCTGAATTTGACCGGTTCCATGTAATCAACAGGTTCAACATCTTCTCAGTGACATTCACCTCACTTCCCACAGTTCCCTCATTTGTTGAACTTGACTGTTTTTTAAATAAGATCATTGTTGTTACATGATACTTAGGTAACTGAAAATGTAGCTACATCCCTATTCCAAACTGACTTCAGAAATACCTCAGTCTCAGTTATACCCCAAACAGCTCTAGTATTTCCAGGGAGGACTTAACGTGACAGAACCTGTTATCTTGGGTTGACTATATGAAACAGAATCTGACAGGTTACCAGGTTTCTGTTTATTGCAATGCTTTGGTCCTGATAATCTAGTAAATGGTGAAATTGGTCTACATTGCAACTGCTCTGTGTTCCTTGCAGTATTCAGTGGGGAATCTGCTTTCACAATTCTTTTCCAAGGGCTGGGTATCCTAGTTAAAGATTTTGATTGTTCTTGAATAGTGGTGCCATTAGTAGAGTCTTTATCACTCTTTGGCCTCTTCCAATAATCTGATTTGCCTCTTTTTTCTGTAATTGGATCAGTGCAAGATTCTCTTGTGACTGAATAAAGTGGTTTCACTGGATTTCCTTTGGCAGACGAGAACTGACAGCTACACGAACAAAATGCATTTGAACTAATTTTATGCACTGAGGGAGTCCACAGGAGTGGACGAATCTTTATTTTATCTTCTTGTGCAGTCCATGGTGCTTCCCAGTCTGGATCCTCTTGTTTTGTGCCAAAAAGTGATTCATCACAGTAGCTAGGCACATGGCCTTTTAACCTTGGTTAAAGAAGAAAATAAAATCGACATAATATTCAATAAATGCACAAGATGGCAATTACATTTTTTTAACATGCTGGATTAAGTAGCTTTTCTTGGACTCTTTTTATTAGGGTTGCTTGGATATCTGCAATTTTGTAACTATCATCAAATTTTTTAGCCAATATTGGAAACAAAAACAGAAATTGCTGGAAAGAAGGGTCACTGGACCAGAAATGTTAACTCTCTTTTCTCTCCACAGATGCTGCTAGATCTGCTGAGTTTTTCCAGTAATTTCTGTTTGTGATTCAGAATTTCTGGGTGAAACAGAAGGTTTCCTGAAAATTTTCCTTCAGATCATCCAAAAATTTGCTTGCACAATTAAGATGGTAAACTAACAAAATAGACAACTTGGCAAGACTGTTCAAAGTAAACTAGTCATTAAATGATTACAAGTTATGAATCACTGTATTTCTGCAGTAGTCAATAAAGATGTCTCTTTAAACTGGAATTCATTAAATGATCCAGAAGTCATCATACTACATGGCCTTGGCTTTTACAATGTTTAATCAAAAAGCATCTGATAAATTAAACATGGTACAAATTATTTAACAATTTGTCTTTACAAAAAGTTGTAAAAACATAGAACATATCCAAATTCTGAAGGAAGTAGAGTTACAAATATGGGAACATGACTTGAACAGGAGTGTGGTATATATTAAATTTTATCAAATGCTAGCACTATCTGTGTTGTTCATTGTGAAGTAACTCCAGAGAGGCTGGTATCCCGTCACCAAGTCGCCCTTTATTTACACGTGGAGAGTCCTTGACATTGATCCAGCTCACAGAATGAATAAGATGTCTGACACTCCCGTTTTTATCTGTCAGCCAGGACTCACTGATTGGACCAGATTAACAACCCCAATTAGGGAACTCATATTCTATGATGTCCACCTGGCTGACCTTGTTACAATCACTACACATTGGCCAGGAACTATACGGAGCTAGTATTGCAAGTGTTTGCAAAACTTAAAGGAAGCCCACACCTTTTGAAGGGAATTCCCCTGCGACAACAGTAGTGCGAGTTTTTCTCACAAGTGAATCAGTGCTGTGATACTTTGAGAAATGGCTGAATGAGGCAGCAAGCACACATCAATGTTTTCAGACAATCTGTTGTTTTTGTAGAAGAGGTAGAAAGGAAAAGCATCCTCTATCCAATTTTGCAAGACAATGAGGCACTCCAGACATGCTCAGTTGGCATCAAGAAAAAAGCGAAACAACTTCAATGCCAACAGTGTTGCTAACTGATATGGTACAGGAAGCTTAATGATCTGACATGAGTCAGAATGATTGACTTAGCCTCCCATCAAAAGCTTCAACAGCCTCATCCACTTTCATGTACCTGCAAATAATCTCTCCCAGTACTCATTCATCTTCTTTACCTCAACTTCAACTTTAGACTCAACACTGTTAGAAGCCTCAGACACAAACTCAAAGGTGGTTATTGAAACATGGTAGTCGCACCGCAAATATATTGAATGATACTGACACCATTCCTCCTTTATTGCAGCAGAAGGTTGTGATAAACAAGATAAAGCTGCAAAGAATTGGAGGACAAGGTCGCTTGCATATTTTAACATCAATTGAAGAGATAGTAGTGGCCACCATTGGAAGGTGTACACAGTTGTGGTTCTTTTTTTTTTAATATGCATTCTGTCATTACTTAACGTGTAAAGTTGGAAAGCACTGTGCATTTTCTGGTGGTTGTTACAGTCTTTCAGGTGTAGATGATTTGATGGTTAGTAATTAAAAGATGAGGGGTTTGGCGCTATTAGTGAATGGGAAGCTCCAATTGAATTTACTTCTAGCTCATCGAGCCAGGCAGAAAGGGTTTGGCTACAATGAATGCCCCCTTCTTCTCCCAATCTATACTGTTGAAAACCTCTTCGTTTTCTTGTCCTCCTGCTCCCCAGCTTCTCAGCTGATAGGCAGAGGTAAAGGCTGATCCTTCACAATGGCCAGGTTGTATATCGTGCAGCATACCACTGTATGACTTGATATTCATTTAGCTGAGCACTGTAGGATGGTGCAGATTGTGGAAGCATTGTACGAGGACGCTGATAGTGTGCTCTATCATGTTTCCTGTGGCAACACGGCTCTCACTGTATATCTGTTGTGCATTGATTCCAGACTGGGGCCATGTCATGTCATCAGTGGAGAACATTTGTTGTCTAGTAGCCAGCCTTGTGGGTTAAATATAGTGTGCACAAAAAACTCCTGCAGAATAAAGTAATCATGACTTTTGCTAGAATATACTTACTCACCTGCATGATGAGCTGCCTGTGGTTACTGACCAGTGCATGCTAAGGGAGTGCTCTACCTTTCAGTTCAGAAATATCACATCATTCACATGCAAAACATGCTTTAGCAAAAGGGAACGAGATGAAATTGTCTCTCTTTGCATCAAGAGACTTGTGACTTTCTTTACAGCAGTGTTAAAAAAAGGTAAGGTTGTCATAGTCCTACCAGATCATAACTGGTCTCTCAGTAAAGAGAGAGACAACTGGTGGTGTTTTAACCTGAGGGTCGCCAGACCTCAGGCAAGGGGACAGGCTGAGAAGGAGTATCCTTCATGATAACCTCAGCTGGTGTGGGAATTGAACGCACACTGTTGGCATCATTCTGCATTGCAAATAATCCGAAGAGCCACTGGTCCTTACAAACTGACAGATGCTGCCCTATACTTCAGTAGCTGCCTGTTGGGAATCAGATGCATAAAAGTCATCAGCCGCAGTCAGTGGGGCAGCCACAGGCAAAGACTCCTTTCCTTACTTTGAAGGTGCAGCCTTTGTCAGATTTCTGTCACAATTTGAAGACATCTCATGCATTTGGTCCTCTGTAAACTTCAGGTAAGAGAATTGCTGCTTACAGGCTCAATGGATATGGCCTTCTGCTCTGAACTTTTCTTCACATTCTCTGACCGTCCCATCCTGCCCTGAATGTGTGTGGCTTCATTTCATTCAATCAATCATGCTCAAATTATAACAGTCAATGCAGTATTATAGACTGATTGGTCCATGATGTACTTGTTTAGAATGTTGCTGGAAGTTTTTAGTTGACCTGCTGCTGTGACACAGCATTCAGCATACCTAATTTTATAATTCTGAATGCACACCTAAGATGTATATCAGCCTGTTGAAGGCCAATTAGAGCTTATAACAAAGCCCAATTTCTTCCCTAGGAAGTAACTTCTCAACAAAACACATTGACAGTAATTTTTCAAAGCAAACACTATAAACTGTTTTAGAGTCTGGTTACAATCCAAACAAGCTTTAGTTTCATATCTATTTCTTAAGCGCAATTTGCTATCTGAGGTAAACAATGCTCTATAAAAATAAAAGTTAAGTCTCAATGTGTAGAAAGGAAAAGCCACACAGAATTAGGCTAGTGTCATTCAATAAGTCACAATCTCAACTTTGTGATCTATCAGTTGATAACGCAACTCTCTGGGAAATTTATATGAGCATATATATGAATTAGAAGCACACAAAGACCACTCAGCAGCTTGAGTCTGCTCTGCCATTCAGTAAGTTCATGGCTGATCTGATTACTCCACACTTCTGGTCTCCTCAGAACCTTTGGTACCCATACTTATTTAGAATCTATCTATGTCTGCCTTAAAAAATATTCATAGACAGTGCTTCCACTACCCCTTGAGGTAGCGAGTTCCAAAGGCTCATGAAAAATTTATTCTCAAAGAAATAGGTAATGCTTCATTTTGAAATGGTGATCCCTGGTAATAAAAGCAAAATACTGCAGATGTTGAAAATCCAAAAGAAACACAGAAAATGCTGGAGACACTCTGGTCTGGTAGTATCTGTGGTGATGCCTGGTTTCAGATTCTTCCACAAGAGGAAACATTTTATCTACATGCACATGCAAGTACAAACTTAAGGTAATTGATAAAGCAGTGCTGACATAAGAGTACTTTATGATCTGAAACTCAATGCATAATTGGAAGTGGAAGTAGGAACATTAGAAATATGAGCACAAGCAGGCCATTTGTCCCAATAAGCCTGCTCTGCCATTCAATTAGACCATAACCGACCATTTACCTCAACACCATTTTATCAGATCAGTCCTATATCCCCTAATACTTTGAATACCTAGAAATCTATTGATCTTTTTCTTGAACATATTCAATGGTTGAGCCTCCATAGCCCATGGAGGTAGAAAATTCCAAAGATTCGATATTTTGTGTGAAGGAATTCCTTCTTCCAGTCCTAAATAGCTTGCACCTTGTTCTGAGAACCATGTTTTCCAGTTCCAGATCTCAATGCTAGAGGAAACATCCTTCCTGCATCTGCTCTGTCAAGCCCTGTCAGAATTTTATATGCTTCAGTGAGGTTACCTCTCTTTCTTCTAAATTCGGGATAATAAAGGCCTGATTTCTTCACAGGACATTCCTATCATCCCAGAATCAGTATGGCTCATTCATTGATTCATTCTGAATCAATCATTGTTGTACTCAGTCTATGACAAGGAGAAGGTAAAGAGACCAAAACTGTACACAATATCTCAGGTTCAATCTTCTCAAGGAACAATATAATTGCAGCAAGACACCTTTATTCATGTACTCCAGTCCTCTTGCAATGAAGGCCAATATACTATTTGCCTTGCTGCACTAGCATGTTCATTTTCAGTGACTCATGAACAAGAACACCAAAATCCCCTTGAACGTCAACACTTCCCAATCTCTCACCATGTACAAACTACTCCGCTTTTCTGTTTTTTTTCTACTAAGTGGTAATTTCACATTTTTCCACATTATATTCTCATATATTGAAGCAGTGTCAATGACAGCCTTCATAAGGGTACTGGATTAGAACTTGAAAATATTTGCTGGCTTGTTGGAAAACAACAAGAGAATGGGATTAATTGGATAGTTAATTTAATCAATCAGTAAGGCACAATAGACTGAATGATTTCCTTCTGTGCTGTAGCGTTCTATTTTCCTGTCAAATTACAAAACAAACAATAACAGACTTCCTAAAAGCTTCAAGTCTTTCTGATGATAGCCAGCCCTTAGCCTCCTTGGCATAATGGAACCTATTTTAGAACTAGATGGAGTAGCTTGAAAGAATGCTACCAAGATTTGCTGAGTCAGAAGAAAGTTAAATAGCAAATCATTTCAAACATAATATCACATGTATTTCTTTTGCCGAAATTGTTTGAAACAAAAGCTGGAGTTAAAGGTACACTGTCCCAATGTCTTTAGATTTTTTTAATATCTAGAAATCTATTGATCTAACATTCAATGATTGAGTCGCCATGCCCTCTGTGGTGGTAAATTCCAAAGATTCACCAGCTCAAAATGAAGAAATTCATCCTCATGTCAGTCCTAAATGGCCTAACACTTATTCTGACACAGTGTCCCTGGTTCTAGATGCCCTAGCCAGGAAAAACATCCTTCCTGCAATTATCCTATCATCCAGCATAGGAAAAGGTGAAATTACACTCTTTAGATGGAAGAATAATGAACTGAAATGCATAGCAATCCATAAGATTTTGAATGAGTAGAAAATCAGTACTGTATGCTTAATTTACAAAAGCACTCATTACTAAAGGTAGCAATGCAAATAGGTTAACCAAAAATTTCCTGATTTTGTATCTAAAGACACAATTCAAACATAAGAAAGCAATCTTGAATGATACAAGATATTTATTTGGCTTTAAATGGCAGAAGTGTATTTAATTTGGGGTAGCCCCCCATTAAAGGAAAGACAAAGTGTAGCATAGGTAAAGATGCAGTTATATGTGACTTTTTCACTACAGACTTGTTAGAAGTCTTCAAGGTCTTTTTCCTCAAGTGCTCTGCCTGAAAACAGGTCATTGCCAATTTTCTTTTCCTCAATCAGTCCTAACTAATTGGGTTTTCTTTTACTAGAGATAGGATAAGGACATAGGCTCTGAATTTACCCCAGCCCCAGAAAGGATTGAACCTCTTACCATTGCTACTAATTTGATCCACAATGCTAGCTGTACAGTCAACTGAGCTAACCAGGCCTACTCTTCAAGATGACCATAAAGGTTGGTGATGGTTGATTCCTTCCATTGGTCAATCATAGGACCACCAAAAGAATGAAAGAGTTTAGCAGAAATTTATTTACTCTAAGTGCCCTGAGTGTGGAATTCTCTGCCACAAAACAGTGTTCAACCAGAGTCCATGAAGTCTTATATTAACAAAAATAAGTTATGGAACACTATCAAGGTGGGATTTGATTAATCCCTCATGCTGGAAAACAAAGCTATAGACTTCATGGTTCAGGTGACATGTGAACAAACTCCACAATTCAGTTCTACCGTCTGTAATAACTTCCTCCAATCCAGAAAGCATTGAGTTGGGTTTACTGCAGGCATCACCTGCTTTCTCTGTCTGTGCTATTCAGCCCAATATTTATAATTTTCGTGTCGGGAAAATTTATTTCTTATTCTCATGTATGCCATTATGGCACCTTAAGTATTACACCTATGTTGAAACATTTAACTCTTGTTTGTCATTACCTGTATTTGTTCTTTTTTATTGGTGTGCCATCACATTTATGTGCATTTGGAACTAGTCCAATTTCTCCATTTGCACTAGGCTTTATTTGGGAACTTGAATTCCATGATGACGATTGTTGTGAACCAGTCTGAGATGTGGAACCCCATGGTGGTTCAAATTCAGTGACTGAACTCCGAAGCCCACTAGAATTTCCAAACAAGGTTTCATCCACATAGGAAGTCTTTCCTATAACTCTATAATGTCTGAATCCTTTACGACGTACATGACTGTGTTGAACAGCATTGACTGCTTTGTCAGCTGACATGCCTATTCCTGAAGATGGATTCCGGCGCACTGATTTGGATTTTTCAAGTATGAAGTCAATCTAAAGACAAGAAAAATGAAGGGAGTTTTATACCTTCAGTAATGGCATACATTAATTCATTATGATACTCTGAAAATTAAAACATATCATTATTTCAAATTATAACTCCTGTACCAACCCCCATGTTGAGATCAGTTAATTCAGCAGGGACCAACAATCACAACAAAGGACTTATTAATTCTTGTGGGCTACAATTTACTGATTCAACCCAATAAGCCTTTGGGTAAGGCTCAACTATTTTTAATACATAAATCAGAAAAATTCACTGTGTACTAATCATAAAAATAGTGAAGTCTCAGCAGTTAAAAATGCTATACTAGATACCGTAGATTGTGCTATCAGGGTAATAATTCATGGAAGGTTGAAAATAACTGAGGTGCCATGTAACATTACATGGTAGCTCAATTAATACTTACAAAATCAACATCCCACCAAATAAAACACTATATGTGATATTAAAGGAAGGAACATTTCAACACTGTGTCCACTCCCAACACTTGCTGTTCTTTCCCCATGCACCTTCCCATGCAATTGGAGGAGATATAACACTGGCCCTTTTAACCCCTGTCTCCTCACTACCCAAACCCCAAACACTCCTGCCATATGAAGTAGCAATTAAATTGTACTTCTTCCAACTTTGTATGCAATAGTCACTGCAGTACACTTGACAGTTGCTTGACATTTTGATTCACTATGTTGCACTCATGCTCATATTTCTGTCCTCATGCTGCTGCAATGTTCCAGGGAAGTCCAACACAAGCTTGAGGAATAGCACCCCATCTTACATCTGCATTCAACTTTGACTTCAACACCTTTAGAACATGAACAGTCCTCCATTTTGATTTTGTTTTGCCAAGTGTCAGTCTGTATCTTGTTTTCAGTTTTTCTTTCAAGACTATCCTTTATTCAGAATTAATACTTACTCTAGCTCAATGCTATTTCTTTACAATGACTATTATTTTTGTTTTCTTTCCAAGATGTGCTGTTTCATTTCTCTCACCCTCCAAACTAATCCCTAACTTTCCCTTGTGTTCTACTTCACACTACTTTCCTTTACTAACAGCATAAAACTCATTACATTTCTTCCCCTCATCAGTAATGAAGAAGTCATTCCGGATTTGAAACGTTAACTGTTTGTCTCTCTACAGATGCTGCCAAACCTGCTGAGTTTTCCAAGCACTTGGTTTATATTTAATTTTATTTGTTAAATGAGTTTTTCAACTAAAATATGCAGAATTGCTTCCCAACACAACTGAAGCAAATCATGTAAAGATGACAGTACCAGAGATGTCTGAAAAATCAAAGAGCAAAACAAAACAGTTGAAGAAAACGTTTTAAAATTTTCTTTTAATAAACTATGATAGGCTTGAGAACTGGGGGCTGAAGAGATCGCTTTGCGCCCAATGGTCTCTCCTGGAACAGTATCCTCTGGTAGATGAAAACCTATTACACAAAATCAAGCATTTCACACCTCCTATAATTCTATCAAAGCTTCTTTCAGCACACACCCCAACCCCCAAAAACAGGAAACTAAAACTCAAGCAACATCTTGAACAGGACCAACCACACTTCTATTGAGTGTTACTTGACCTCTCCTAACACCTCAGCATTGAACAGTACCTCAGCTACTCCTACCACCATTCTGCAAATAGATCACCATATCTGTGACTTTTCCACTCATCAGCAATACAGCCAAATTCTATTCCCCAATATGACAGACCCCACAAAATAAGTATCACCTTAGACTTGATAAACACTTCCAATTAAGTCCATTAACCATACTTCCCATGTTTCCCAATTCCTGAGGAGCACAAAGATCCACCATATAGCATTAGTTCAGACATTTTAGTTTTCCCACTGAATTTTATTGCCCTCCAAAGGGCAGAGAAACAGTTGTTAGCTAACCTCAGTTTCTTAGTCCAACCAGCAGTTTGGCATGTAAAATAGCATCCTCTTCCTTCACACTATTCAGGCAAACATTCCCAATTCCCCCCTCCTGAACCTTTTCTCTCATGTACTTCCCCTTCCTTGACTTCTTCTCTCCCCTTATCATCCCTTCCACCGTTCAGGTGCAATTATTTTCCCAAATCTCTAATTCTGATATCAAAACTTCAGTTAATCTTGACTTCCTGTTATAAATTTTTCTTCAATGAACATTTGCAGCTCCATTTCATAGGAGAAGCATGCAGCTACAATCTGCAGCCTGATAATGGAAACATTCCTATTGTGGCTCTACCTGCACCACATGTATGTTAGTGATACTAAAAGAATGAGATATATATGCCAAAAATATAATTGTGACCAAAGAGTAGACTAAGGTAGGAAGTATGATAGAGACCTTATATCCTTTAAACGTAACTGAAAACTCCTGTTAGATTTATTTCATTGTTAATAACAAACCAATGGAGCAGTGACATGAAAAAAAATTAAAATTGATTGTTTGTCTAAAACGTAAGTTCACTTGCGAAACCAAAGCTCCAATATTTAAATCTTGCATAATTTGCAGGAGAGAGAAATTCTAAATTTACAAATAGACTTTTGGTAGTAAGTTCATGTCTCATCAGTTTAAATAATGAAAGATGTGTACAGTTATAAGCAAAGGCCATATTTGGTCAATTATATTTCAGATTAACCTAAAATCAAGAATGCAATTTCTCTTAAATTTTTTTCTTCCATTTTTCCATAAGTATTAGGATAAAACGCCAATGTGGGCTTGAAACTGAGGAAGTTTAAGCTCTATTGCATGATAGATAGCTCCAAGAAGAGGCAAACAGTGTTTCCAGTCTAGGATTTAAAGTCATATTTACCTTAAGCCTATTGAGATATTTGGAAAAGAATTTGCTCTGCTATCAATACCGTAAAAAAGGGTGATTCGGTGCACTGTACAAGGGAAATTTTTCGGAACTTGTAAAGAAGTGTTTTGGGATTAGTGGAAATATACATTTACTGTGTTTAAAACTCTTGAGTTTGTGTTATAAGTAACTAGATTTTTTTGTTTAGTAATCTTCTGTTTTATTGTTAAAACAAAACCTGCAACATTGTGTGCTTATTAAAATTAAAACAAAATAAAAAATATGATCTATCAAGTCAGATTTCAGTCTGGGATCCAACTTCAGGTTTCTGGACTTCAGCTGGGATATTACAATAGATCTAAATCAATGCTCACAGTCAGCACTCCATACCTGAAATGTTACACACATGTCCAGCATAATGGACATTTCTTGAAGCTGGTCAACGTTTAAGCATAGTTTACCAAATCACAAAATATCTGAATGGAACTCATGCTGGCATTTTCCACAACCACTGATTTTGAATTGTACTATTGGCCACAAAGACATATGACCACACTTTCATATAATTTAGTATGAGTGGAATATTTTGATATCAGTCATTTCACACCGTCTTTTCCTAATTAATAATTGATTGTCTTGGCAATTACAGCCTAAGCAAGAGTGCTACTCCACTCATTACTCTTCTGAAAATCTGCTATACAGATGGTCACACAAGTAACCATAACCTTCTTAACTGCATCACTCCAACAAAGCATTCACCTAGATACTGAATGTTCAGTTTGTTAATCTTGGCCTTTGAAAACTGCATAGCTTCAATTGTTGTCAACTTCTCTAAACGAAGGAATGTCAGATCAGCTTGAACCAATTGAATGGCAGAGTAGGCTTGAGGGATAGAACAGTATATTTCTGTTCCAGTTTCTTATGGTGTATTTTGGACAGTGATGCCAGTTCACATTGAACATCATTTAAAGCTGTCAATGCGATCCAATTTTGTGGCTTTGTGAGCATTTACATGCAACATTTGTTTGTTGTATGGTTGCGCGTATTTACTTACTTTGTGCAGTAGTCAATCAAGATGTTGTGGTATCACATTGGTACACTTACTTGCAAAGTGTATCTACAACTACGTCACTTCATTCTGAGAGTGATATGTCACTGTTTCATACTTTGCAACTTTGGCAAATTGTTTGAAGCATCCTTTCTTCACAGCTGACGGCTGAACATTGTACACTATTATATACTTCTTAGAAATGTTTCGCTATCATGCGTAATTCAGACCTGTTTCTAAGCATCATCTATTGCAAGATCTTCTCTGTGAGCAGTACAATGCTGTTCCAAAAAATTCTTTTCAATGCAGTTTGACACAATATTAAGCTACTCCATTCTTTTAAGCATTAGAGCTGCTGCATCTGATGTATGCATCACCATCTTCTGCTCACAGAAAATTACTGGATTGGCGTTACAATGAAGAATTTGTTGCAAGCAGTCAGTTACAAAATTCCTGCAAAGACAGTCTTGTAAACAACTTCAGATTCTGGTCAAAACTTGATATACAAAATCCACATTTTTTGTACTGAAAGATCTCTACTTATGTCCACCATCAACGAATGAAAATACAACCTTCACAAATCATCCAAGAACTTCAACTTGTGTAACAAAGTTAATGTACTCCACAAATTCAAAGGCATAATTCTTCCTCTGCCAGTAATTACTGTATAATTTGCATACTTTAGCATATGATCATGAATGTCTTTCATAGAAAGCATGGACACATTCATCTTTATTGCAAGAATGATGTTATCAATTCAACTTTTCATCATGTTGGAATTAGTCTGTGTGCACTGTATGCTCTAGCCTGATTTCACGACTCCCTGTCGTTCTAGTAAGTATTTCGAACATTCCGCCTTTGTTGTGATTTTATAAACTAATTGCAGAATTCATGTTCAGTCTTTGGTTCAAATACCACTTTAGATCTCCAATTTCCATTTGTATCACATTTTGCCAATGCTGAACTCACCTCCGGCATTTCCCTCAGAGCAAATAATGCATAGGACATTGTCAATTTCTCAGTAAGTGAAAATCACCCATTCTTACCTTCTGTTTGTGTGTTGAACATATCATTATGGTTTCAATGATCCTTTTTGAATTGCAGTGAGTGTGCGCTTCAGTGAGTACCAACCAATGGTTCAGAAATAAAAACCGAAAGAACTGCGGATGCTGTAAATCAGAAACAAAAATAGAAGTTGCTGGAAAAGCTCAGCAGGTCTGGCAGCATCTGCGAAGAGAAGTCAGAGATAACATTCCGGGTCCAGACCTGAATGGTTCAGAAATCCTGGGCTTTGCGGATTGTGTGTAAGATCATTTTGTGTGCACAGGATTTTTTGTCTGATGTGCGATATGTGCACAACTTACAGGGAATATTGCCTGGCACCCTACTTTCTCACTTATCTTACGGACTTACCATTAAACATGAGCTGTCAAAGTGGCTGCCTGTGATGCTAGACCTTCAAATCACAGAATATGGTAACTGACTGCTATGAAAAGGAGGTGTGGTTTGCTTTTTCCTGACTATCCTGCATTGAGAGCCCTGTCAGATTTAAAGTACGACTCTACATTTCTAAAGGACCACTGATTGGAATCTTTTGTCAGAAATGCAGAACTTTTCTTGCCATTTAAAAAAAAAGGTGGAGTGGAAATCTTAATGCAATTGCCATACCTGAGAAAATCTGGCCAAAATACTGAGGGCTAAAATGCATCCACAAGCGAAGTTGGAGGAAATAGTATGAGAGGAGATTGGGGAAAAAAAGGCACAGATGATTTCCTTGTAGACTTAAGGAACAGGAGAAGTTTTGAGGGGATTTAAGAAAGTTTCTTTACACCCTGAAGGTGGTAGGTATTTGGAACTCTCTTCCTGAAAGGGTGGTAGAGGCAGAAACCATTGCAACAAATATTTCAACGAATACTTGAAGCACCACAGCACACAAGGCTATAAAAGGCTCTTGTGGTAGTATCCATATGACTGAGCCAGGAGATCTGGGTTCAAGTCCCAACTACCCCAGAGGTGTGCCATAACATTTGAACAGGTTGACTAAAAATAATTATAAGGCTATAGGCCAAGTGCTGGAAAATAGGTCTAGAGCTGAGAGGCTCTTCATGACTGGCACAGAAACAATGGGCCAAAAAGCCTCTTTCCCTGTGGTAAACCTCTATGTCTCTAATCCTCTCATTCTACAAATCAATCCAATGAACCTTTGCATTCCCTTCCAAGGTAAATATATCTTTCTTTAAATGAGGAGCACAGCATGAAACACAATACTGCAGTGTGGTCTTATCAAAACCTTATTGCCGCAATACGTCTTTACTCTTAAATAAAACGAAGAACTGTGGATGCTGAAGATCTGACACAAAACAAAAACAGAAATTACTGGAGAAACTCAGCAGGTCTGGCAGCATCTTTTGAAAGAAAACAGAGTTAACGCTTCGAGTCCAGTAACCCTGTTCTTTTACACTTACGTTCCAACACCTTTGTAAAAAAGCAAAAGTACAATCCTAAAGGATTGCAAGGAGTATGTTAATCAGCCACGCTTTGGGCACAAGGATGCTCGAGTCCCCTGTGCATAATCAACATTCACTAGTTGTTCGTCTTTTAAAAATATTGAATCTACTTTTCCATTCTCCTTCCAAAGTGGATAATTTCACATTTCCCCGCAATATGCTCCATTCGCCTGCATAAAAACACACGGGTAACAAATCTAGCGGCGTGCACTGATTTCGTTCGGAGAGGGAAAACAAAATCTGCCACGCAAACAACGACCACGGAAAATCGGTCACCCAAATAAGTAAGCATTTGCTCCACCGACTTGATGCAGCCAGTCCGTAATACAGTCAGTGCACTGTCTGTCCAGGTGAATCGTTAACACACGGGGGAAACCTCACCTTTACCTGCAGCCGCTTCACACGTTGCGATAGCAGCAAACACCAAGGTTTCAGAGCAACCCCACGCCGCCCAGCCTGGTGGGGTGAGGGGGGCACACACAAATACATTGCACAAAATCCAACATGAGACAGGGCAAATTATCAGGAACTATTAAAAATAATTTAGATATGTGATTAAACTATGGAGAAATTTTTGTAAAATACATATTTGTGAGTGTTGTTCCAAACCAGTTAAAAGGCTTTTCTGCATTCCCCCCCTCTGTCGATAGCGGCGAGTGGACGTCCCCATTGATCTCTGACCTTGCCAGGAGGCTGCGCAGTTGGGTTGGGGCGAGCGCATGTGTCTGGTTGAACGGTCGGTCGGTAGGTAGGCAGGTTTGAATTTCGCCAGAAGACATGGTGCTGAAGAAGAAGAAGCAGCGGCGGCCGGATAGACGCCGGAAACCCCGGGCCCGCAATCAGCCCCGCCATCGCGACGTGGATGTCGATGTGGAGAGTGACGGTGGCGAGTTCCAGTTGGCCCCTTTAACCGAGGAGGATGACACCGTGGCCAAGGTTGGTGGCCGGGGCCCGGCGAGTGAGTGGCTCGCTCTCTACCGGTGTGGAGTCGGCGAGGCCGATGGGCCGGTCAAAACCAAGTAAAAACCGAAAGAACTGCGGAGGCTGTAAATTAGAAACAAAAACAGAAATTGCTAGAAAGGTCGGCAGGTCTGGCAGCATCTGTAAAGAGAAATCGGAGTTAACATTTCAGGTCCGGTGACCTTTCCTCAATACCAAGTAGTGCGGCATGCTGGAAATCCATAATCAGTTGGACATAAACAGTAGGTTGGGCACTATCTATAGGAAGAGTCAATGTGGTAGGGGAGAAGCACCACCGTTAACGAAATCTAGAACTTCTTCGGGAGCAGAGTAAGAGTTCTCCAGAACCTCTTAGATGTCATCCTAGATTCGAAATATAGCCTTTTTCTCTCCACTGATGCTACCAGGCATGCTGAATCTCTTCAGCAACTTCTAATTTTATTTCAGATTTCCAGCATTCACAACATTTTGCTGTTCATAGGTGGGGTTAACGTTTCAGGTTCCTGACATTTCATTACGTTGAAAGAACAATTAGAGAGGTTTCAGATTTTAAGCAAGTACACGGTGGGGCAGGATACGTGGAGAGACTGAAAGAGGTGTCTGACAGGACAGAAGGCAGGAGAAATTAAGTAATGAAAAGGATGATAGTGTGTGGAGAAACGAGTTGTTCAGGAACAAAGGAAAAACATAAAATGGGTGTAGAAGTGATCTAATTTGAGAAAAGATAGGGAGTGGGTGGTGAAGCTCTGATTTGAAATTGATAGACTCTTAAGTACAGAAGACCATGAAATGCCAAATTCAATTAGTTTCATAGGCCTCCTTCCTATTTCAGAGCTTATTGACAAAGTGAAAGAAATAGTGATGTATGTACATAGAAAACTGGTGATATCTAACCAGTAACTGGGCACACACCAAGGTATTGGGAAAATGATCTTGGTTTTTATTTTCTTTATTCATTAACAGGATGAGGGTGTCACTGGCTAGGCATCTATTGCCTGTCCCTAATTGCCTAGAGGGTAGTTAAGTGTCAACCACATTACTGTGGGTCTGGAGTCACATGTAGGCCAGACCAGGTAAAGATGACAGTTTCTTTTTTTTTTAATATAGAATCCCTACAGGCCCTTTTGGCCCAACAAGTCCACACAGATCCTCGGAGCATCCCACCCAGACCCATCCCTCTATAACCCCACCTAATCTACACACCCCTGAACACTACAAGCAATTTTAGCATAGCCAATCCACCTAGCCTGCACATCTTTGGATTGTGGGAGGAAACCGGAGCACCCGGAGGAAAAACACGCAGACACGGGGAGAATGTTCAAACTCCACACAGACAGTTGCCCGAGGGTGGAATCGAACCCGGGTCCCTGGTGCTATGAGGCAGCAGTGCTAACCGCTCAGCCACCGTGCTGCCCCCAAAAGGACATCGGTGAACCAGATGGGATTTTCTGACAATCGACGATGGATTCACGGTCATCATTAGATCCTTAATTCCAGAAATTCTTATTGAATTCAAATTCCACCATCTGCCACGGCAGGATTCACACCTGGGTCCACAGAATGTTATCTGGGTCTCTGGATTAACAGTCTCGCCGTAAAACCACTAGGCCATTGCCTCCCCTTGATAGGACAGATGTGCCATAAATAGGCCCCAGTTTGTGACTTAAGTTTGCCACCCGTATAATCTGTGAATACAGATATTTTAGCACAGTTCTTAGGATCTTAGTTAAAAAGTGCTGAGCGACACTATTATCTTTCCCATCTCTCCTCAGTGACTAGAAAATGCCAGCGTTCATAATGCTGTCATTAAGACCTTCATGAATGTGGTGAAAGTACTCACATAGAATATATGGTACACAACTAAGATCATTCAGTTCATTTTGCATCTGCCTTCATTGTAGAAGACACAAAATAACATCCCAGGAATAATTGTAAATCAAAGTGGCGGAACTCAAACAGTCACCGCACTAGGGCATGGATGTTAAGAAAATTATTAGAATTAAAAGTTGACAGGTCCCCAGACCCTGATCAGTTTCAGCCCAGGGTCTTAAAAGAAGTGGCTACTGTGATAGTAGGTGTATAGGTTTTAATTTTCTAAAATTCCTCACATTCTGGAATGGTCTCTTTAGTTTGGAAAACAGCAAATATGACTCCATTGAAGAAGGAAAGGAAAGAAAGTGAGAAACCACAGGACAGTTGGCATAATATCTGTCATATGGAAAATGCTGGAATCTTATTCTTAAGAGTAAAGTTGGGCATTTTAGAAAATCTAAATGCATTCAGGTAGACTCAGTATGGATTTATGTAAGGGAAATCATGTTCAACTAATTTTTGGACTTGCTTTGAGTAAGTAACAAGCACATGTCAACTTATGGATACGCTGTATTTAGATTTCCAGAAGGCATTAACAAGATGCCGCATCAAAGGTTACTATGCAGTAAGTACTCATGGTGTAGAGGGTAACAGTTTAGGATGGATAAAGGATTGGTTAGCCAATTGGAATGTAAGTTCGAGTTCTTATTCAGGTTGATATGAGCAGAGTGCGATAGGGATCAGTGCTGGGCCCTCAGTTATTTGCTGTTAATCTCTGATTTGGATGAAGGAACCATATGTATAGTTGCTAAATTTGATGACACAGAGATAGAAAAGATAGAAGTTGGGAAGAGGGTATGAGTCTGCAAACAGATATAGAAAGATTAAGGGAGGGAGTACATTGTGGGGGGAGAAAATGAATTCATCCACTTTGGTAAGAAAAATGGGAAAAAAAAATATTTAAATGGAGAGAGATCACAGGACTCTGAAGTACAGAGGACTCTAAGTAGCCTTGTACCATAAATCACAAACCATTGGTTTGCAGGTACAGCAGGTGATTTTTGTTTATTGTCAGGGGCACATAAACATAAATATAAGGATGTTTTGCTGCACTTGAAGAGGACATTGATTATTTAAGAAAGACATAAAGATATAGGAGTAGAATTAGGCCATTTGGCCCATTGAGTCTGCTCCACCATTCACTCATGCCTGATGTTTCTCAACCCCATTCTCCTGCCTTCTCCCCATAACGCTTGGTCCTCTTACTAATCAAGAACCCATCTATCTCTGTCTTAAATACACTCAATGACTTAAATTTCACAGCCCTCTATGGCAGTGAGTTCCACAGATTCACCACCCTCTGGCTGAAGAAATCCCATCTCATTTCCAAAGAGTTGTCCCTTGGTCCTGGTCTGTACTATCAGCGGAAATATCTTCATGCCAACTCTGTCCAAGCCTGTCAGTATTCTGTAAGTTTCAATCAGATCTTCCCTCATCCTCTAAACTCCGTCTAGTACAAATCCAGAGTCCTCAACTACTCCTCGTATGACAAACCCTTCATCCCCAAGATCATTCTTGTAAACCTCCACTGGATCCCCTCTAAGGCCAACTCATCCTTCCTTATGTACAAGGCCCAAAACTGCTCTCAATATTCCAAATGTGATCTAACCAGGGACTTGTACAGCCTTGGTTCTTGTGTTCTAGCCTTCTTGAAATGTTGCGTTTGCCTTCTAAACTGCTAACTGAACCTGGAGGTTAACCATAAGAGAATTCTGAAGTAGGACTCCCAAGTCCCTTTGTGCTTCAGATTTCCTAAACCTTTCTTTCCATTTAGAAAATATTCTGCACCTCTATTTGTTCTACTGAAGTGCAAAAACTCTCACTATCCCTCATTGTATTCCATCTGCCACTTCTTTGCCTAGCCTACCCAAGTCCATCTGCAGCCTCCCCGCTTACTCAACACTACCTGTGTGTCATCTGTAAACTTCACAACAATGTCCTCAGTTCCTTTGTCCAGATCATTAATATGTCACAAAAGGTTGTGGCACTAGCACGGCTAATACCCTATCCATGTAAGTACCTTGCTTCTAACGCAATGGGCTCAACTTATTTAAGAGCCTCTTGTGCAGCATCTTGTCAAAGGCCTTATGGAAATCTGAATAGATTACGCCCACTGGCTGGCTGTTGTCCAACTTGCTCGTTACCTCCTCAAAGAATTCTAACAGATTTGTCAGGCATGACCTTTCCTTCATGAAGCTGTGCTGACTCAATACCTCCAAGGACTCTGCAATTTGATTCTTAACGATAGACTCTAAAATCTTAGTAATGTAGAGGTCAGGCTAACCAGTCTATAATTTCCTGCCTTTGCCTGCCTCCCTACTTAAACAAGGATGTTTACATCAGCCGTTTTCCACCCTCCTTGACTTCAGTGATTCCTGAAAGATCACCACTAACACATCTACAATCTCCTCCGCTATCTCCTTCAAAACTCTGTGATGTAGTCCATTCACCTTCAGATCTTTCAGCTTCCCCAGCACCTTCTCCTTAGTGTTGGGCACTACACTTACACATCTCTACCCGAAGTTCTGGTATGTTGCTGTCTTCCATGTGAAGACCGATGTAAAGTACTGATTCAGTTCCTCGGCCATTTGTTTTTGCTCCATTACTGCTTCTCCAGCCTCATTTTTCAGCAGTTCAATGTGCATTGTTGCCTCTCTCTTTCCTTTTATTTATGTAAAAATACCCTTGCAATCTTCTCACACACACACACACACACACACACACACACAAAACCCCATTGCTGTTTTATTTACCCTTCGCCGGTTTTTAACGGCTTTCCAATCCTTTGGCTTCTCCGTAAACTTCACCATGTTTTTATGCTTTTTCTCTTGCTTTTATGCTGTCCCTGACATGCCTTGTCAGCTATAATTTCCTCATCCTCCAATTAGATTGTTTCTTCCTCCTTGGGATGAATTTCTGCAGTGCCCCAGGAATCTTCTGCCTTTGTTGCTCCATCATCTTCCCTGCTGGACTTCCCTTCCAGTCACTTCTGGCCAGCACCTCCCTCATGTGTTTGTAGTTCCCCTACTCAATTGTTATACTGTTACATCTGATTCAAGCTTCTCTATCATATTATGAACTCTATCATATTGTAGTCACTGTGGGCTCCTTCACATTAAGCTCACTAATCAAGTCTGCCTCATTACTTCTTGAAATCCAGAGTTGCCTGTTCCCTTGTGGGCTCTGCCACAAGCTGCTCCAAAAAAAGTTCTTGTTGGATTTTCCACAAATTTGTTTTCTTGGAATCCACTACCTGATTTTCCCAGTTCACCTGTCTAGTGAAGTCCTCCATCATTATTGTAATAGTGCCTTTCTTACATGCCTTTTCTATTTCCTGATTTATTTTCTTCCCAGCATCCTGATTACTGCTAGGAGGCTTGTACATGATTTCCACCAGGGTCTTTTTTTGTTTTGTGATTCCTCATTTTACCCACAGAGTTTCTATGACTTCCAACTCTTTATTGCATCTTGCTATCAATTTATTTTCGTTTCTCATGAACAAAGCAACCGTTCCCCTTCTGCCCATCTGCCTGTCCTTTCGATAAGACGCGTATCCTTGGATATTTGGTTCTCAACCATGATACCCTTGCAGCCATATCTTTGTGATATCCCCAACATCGTACCCGCCAATTTCAATCTGTGCTATACATCTCATTTACCTTGTTTCGTACATTGCATTTAAGTACAACATGCTCAGTTCTGCATTGACTCTTCCCTTTTTCACAGTTGTCCCCTTATCTGCTGTGTCTGAAGTTAGATCACTCAGCCTTTCCATAGACCCTGTCCTAATACTTGCTCCAGAAACTTTTTAATCTCTGTTGAGCCATCCCCCCACCTTTTAAATTTTTCCATAATTTTCCAAGCAACTGAACCCAACTCGCCACTATTTAGTTTAAAATACTACTCACGGCTGTAGTTATGCGATATGCCAGGACTCTGGTCCTGGCATGATGTAGGTGAAGCCCATTCCATTTGAACAGCTCCTGCTTTTCCCAGTACCAGTGCCAATGTCCCATGAATTTAAACCCGTTTCTCCCATACCAGTCTTTGAGCCATATGTTTACCTTCTTGATCATGGGCCAGTTAGCTCATGGCTCTGGTAGTAGTCTGGAGATTATTACCTGTTTGGTTCTGTTTTTTAATGCAGCCCTTAGCTGCTCATATTCTCTCAGCAGAATCTCGTCTCTCTGTGTATATCATTAGTAACGACATGGATCACGACAACTGGATTTTTCCTAATCCACAAGTTCCTCTGGCCCCCAGTTGAGAGATCCTGAACTGGGAACCAGGCAGATAACATAGCCTTTAGGAGTCTTGATCCTGGCCACATAGAGCAGTGTCTATTCCCTTGACTGTACTATTCCCGATTATAATTACATTTCTCTTTTCTCCCAGCTGTTGAATGGCTCCCTGTATGTACCACAGTGCTATGACCAGTTTGCTCATCCTCCCTACAGTCCCTTCTCTCAACTGCACAAGAGCAAGAATCTTGAACTTATTAGATAGGCTCAAGGACTGAGGCTTCTTCAGCTCTACCTGTTTCACACATAGTCACACCTTCCTGTCCCTGACGATGGATCAAATTTGAGATGGTTAATCGAAGAGTTGGGACTCCGTCTTGAAAATGTGTCCAGATCAGCACACCACCTCCTTGAGTCGCAGTGTTCGAAGTTCAGACTCTAGCTCATCAACTCTGAGCCAGAATTTTTCAAGCAACCAACACTTGCTACAGACATGATCACTACAAACCACAATGGGCTCCACCAGCTCCCACATCATGCAGGTGCAACACATCACCTGGCCCTGCATCTCTATTTTGTTTACTCAGTTCTTAATTTGATTTTAAAAATAATCTACTGGTCTTTTAGTTTGTAACCTGTAAATATTTCCCCTATTTACCTTCAATTTGAAAGTAACCTGTATAGCTAAATTAGCTGGTATTACCAAACAGTGAACTAGTGGTTTTCCTGTGATGTCATTTTTTTTGTGCTGAGCACCTGATCGTGGGCTTCAACTCACCCTTTTAAAAGACCTTACAAATTATGAGCCAAAAAAGGCAAGCAAAAAGCACCTCTTCCCCTCTGCACCAAATTCTCACGTTGCCTCCCAATTTCCCAAGTGGGATGTGATCTCTCTTTCCTGACCATGCTTAACTTATGGTCAACAGGTATAAATATGTTTGAAATAGTTCAGGGAATGTTCGCCTGACTGACATCTTGATAGGAATGGGGTGGGGATTGGACGAGGAAAGCTTGGACACATTGAGCCTATATCCATTGGAAAGTAGAAGAATGAGAGGCAATTTAAAAGAAATGTGTAAGACCCTGATGCCACTGGGCAGGATGAATGTTAAAAAGGTGTTTTCTCTTGTCGGGTTGGGGAAGGGTGCAAGAGCTACGGGACACACTTTAAAAATAAGGTCCATTTAAAGCAGAGTAGGTGTTTTTCTGTAAAAACATGGTGGATCTCTAGAACTCTTCTTCGGAGAAGGGTGGAGCAAGACTACAGAATATTTTTGAGATAAATTGATTCTTGGTAAACAAGGCAGTTAAATGTTACCAGGATAAATCAAAATGTGGAATTGTGCCCACAATCAGAGCAGCCGTGATACTTTTGAATTGCCAAGCAGGTTTGAGTGGCCTTCTCCCATTCGACCTGTGTGTTGTCATTCTATTCGTCCATACTGGTTTCCTTACCTTATGAGCTTCCTATTGCCTCATTTTGACCTTATCAGCATATCCTATTTTCTTTCCTTTCATACATTTACTTAGCTTCCCTTTAAATGCATTTATGCCATTTGCCTTGATTACTCATTATTCATAATATTCAGGGAATATTGGATTTATTACAGGCTTTCTCCACATCATTCTATCAATCTGTCCCACAGTCCTAAATACCTGACTCAGGTAGCTCTTCAGTCTTTTCTTTTTAAAGAAAAGTACCCCAGCTTTTGAAGAACTTCTTCATGGTTTCAAGATTCAAGCTTGGAAAAGTGACAAAATTTTGATTTTAAACTCTTTGTTTAAGAATGACTAAGTTCCTTTGCAATGCTATTTATAATTTTGATGGATGCCTTTTAACTCCCGTTCCTATGTAGGGCTTTCCTGCTTTTTTTAAAACCTGTGAATCAAAATCTTGAGTGTACTTCAGGATTCTGCTGAGTTGGTGGCTGCTTGTCTTTAATGAACTGACTGCACTGTATCACTGACTCTAAATTCATGCTTATTGCAAAGCTTGCCCTTCAAGAATCATCTCTATGGTTAGATTTGAAACACATTATGTTTTGGTGATAAAGTCGTGTTACCTGCTGGTCAAAACTGGTATCACTTTAGATATTTTTCATTGCTTTAGTGTCCAACAAAGATTTGTCAAGTAAAAAGAAAACAATATCAAAATCAGCTGTGAGGATTTGCACAAAACGAGTCTACTTTTGATTTGAATATTTACTGCAGGTGGATTTTATCAGGATTTAATAGTCGTAAATTAAGTTATTTTGGACAGAACTCCCTGTCCCAAAAGAGTATCACCTAGAATTTATTGGTATCTCAAGAAAGTGTATTTATTTATATTCAAATAATAATGAAATGGTTTTAATTACTTTTGCAGCACAATACAAGATGTTTACCAAGCTTTCCTTCACATGATTGTCCATCAGACGTAGAACCAGACACCAGAGAAATGGTCCGGCAGCAGAATAGAAAGAAGAAGTCGGGAGGCTTTCAGTCCATGGGTATGCCCAACAATTTTCAATAATTTGAATTACTTTTCATTATTTGAGGCACAGCCGTAACAAGTTAATTTATGTAATCCTTGATAACCCAGTTACTATCCATGTGCAGTTTGTTTCTTAATTTTGCAACCTGATCCTGTGCTCTTTTCCCTTTTGAAGTGTATTTTGGATACTGTAGAATGCCATCCTCAGTTTATGTGGAGCATTTATTAAAAGTAGTGCTGGTTTTTCATATGTAGGCTTCACACCATAAATACATCTTAAGGTTTTCTCCACTGAACTATATATACCATCAGCATGAACATAAAATAATATCTTTTCCCAGCAAAAGTAGTTTCTTTATTGCAAGATGCTGCACCATCTTCATATATCCTGTATGTTCTATCTCCTTGGTTTAAAGACAAGTGTATATTCATTTAGTTTAAAATTGGATGCAACATAAGGAGCTATTCTGGATTGAAAACAAAAACAAAATTGTTACTAATTGCTGTAATCTTTGCAAATATGTAGTATTTAACTTAAATGGTTTTGTAGGGTTGAGAATATTTAGACTAAGGCATGCACATGTAATTCGATTCCTGTTTCAAAGTCATACATTTTCTTTTAATTTTTGTGCAGTGCTTTGATGTTGTGCTATTAGTGATAAATAACAGGATTTGTGACTATTTGGGAAATAAAGAATTAGTTTAGTTTAGAACTGTAATTGTTCAACTTGACATACCATCAGGAGATTCCGGTACAAGTTACAATAGTTTATTCACATGAATGCAAGGATTGTCTGCCTTAACAGCCTAACACTAAACATTGCAAAGACCCACAAGTTTCCAGCTTTTATACACTGTATGTAATGTATTCAAGTTTGATCTAATGAATTTATAATCATATGTTCAACAGATGTCACTTATTTCCCATAGTTTGTGCATCAGGTGTCATTTCTATTCATCCAAGCCTTCCTTCTCTCTTCTAACTGTGGCTTTGCTGTCACCATCCTTATCCTGCTTCTGGACATCTGTGATCTTTCAGTTTTGACTCCTTGCTAACTTAAACTGCTTGTCATTTTTTAACCCTTAACTAATTGAAGTTGCTTAACTCTTGTTCATACCTTTCAGAACATAGAAGTTTCTGCACCACTAAAACTGAAGAATAGAAATGTGCATTTGAGGTGCAACAGACTGATATTTGGGTGTAATTACACAATTTTGATTTTAATTTGGTTTCCAATTTGAATGTAAATTTAGGTATTTGTGCAAAGCTATGACAACAGAAGTAATATACTATGGACAAGAGTTGCATATGTATCCTCAAAACCTGAATACACACATGTGGTGTGAAGCTAGGCTTAATTTTCATAACTTGATTTCTTGATTTACATATCCTTCCATTTGCTGTTTGGTGTAATGCACTTGATTTTTTAACATTCTGGAATATACCATTTAAGTGTTTTAAAAAACCTGTTCCTTGGACATTCTCATCTGGCTTGTCTCATGCTGTTATGGTGGTGGATTCGCCACAAAGATATTCTAAGAGCTGAATGTATAGATGAAACACCAAAATTTTGTCTGCCAGTACTGAATAGAGACGTTATGCAGAAATTATATGTTGATTTTTAATATTGGTACAAAATGATTCTAACAAAATTGATGATGTTTCTTTTACCACAGGTTTAAGCTTTCCTGTTTTTAAAGGCATAATGAAGAAAGGATACAAAGTACCAACGCCGATTCAGAGAAAGGTCACTTATAGTAGTGCTAATATTAAAACAAATTGTTGCATTACTGATTTCCATTATAAACTAACGCATGTGGAAGAACCATTATCATGAATAGGAAAAAAAGTGTGTTTATGCTGTCCTGTTAGCATAAACATATTTTGATGATTAAGGAACAATTATCATAAAAGGTTGTCATAAAAATGTTACTAGATCAGAATAGTACATTCAATAATTTTACATTTACAGAAAATTACAAGTGTTCTCAAATAAAAAGGAAATAAGAAATTTGTGAATATTAGCATAATAGTCATGTTACAGAGGTCTGGACACATGCTTCAGATGAACAGGTGTTCAATTCCCACAGTGGTAACTAGGGCATAAGACAGTACCTGAAGGGCCATTTGGCCCATCGAATCTGTTCCTCCAGTCAACAGAATCATGGTTGATCTAATAATCCTTAACTCCGCTCTCCTACCTTTTACCCCATAACCCTTGATTCACCTACCCATTAAAAATTTATCTGTCTCGGCCTTAAATTCAGTGACTCAACCTCAATAGTCCTCAATTCACTCCTCTGAGAGAAGGAATACTTCCTCATCCCTGTCTTAACTGAGTGACCCTTTTCTCTGAGATTATGCCCTCTGTTTGTAGTCTCTTCCACAAGGAGAAATAATCTCTCTGTCTCTCCCCTGTCAAGCTCCCCTAGGAATCTTGCATGTTTCAACAAAATCTCCACTCATCTTTCTAAGCTCCAATGAGTGCAAGCCCAACTTGTACAACTTCAAAAGAAAATCTTTCCATGCTTGGGATTGCCCTAGTGCACCTTCTCCAGACTATCCTCAATGCCAGGGCATCTTTTTCTTATATAAAGAGATTGAAACTTTTCACAGTATTCCAGGTGGTCTGACCAATGCCTTGTATGATTTAAGGAAGACTTCCCTATTTTTATACTCCATTCCCTATGAAATAAAGGCCACCATTCCATTTGCATTCCCTATTATCTGCTGAACTTGGTTGCTAGCCTCTTGTACAAGGACCCTCGAATCTCTAGTAAAAAACAAAAAAAGCAAAAACCAGCAGATGCTGTGAATCAGAAACAAAAACAGAAATTGCTGGAAAAGCTCAACAGGCCTGGCAGCATCTGTGGAGAGAAATCAAAGTTAACGTTTTGAGTCGAGTGACCCTTCCTCAGAACTGATGATAGCTAGGAAAATGTCAACTTACATGCAGAAGATAGGGTGTGGGGGGAAGGGGGTAAAGAGTAAATGATAGGTGGGGATAGATCCCAAAGAGACAGGATAACAGTTGGACAGACAAAGGACCTTTCGTCATTTATGTAAATGATTTGTATGTGAACACAGGAGGTATGATTAGTAAGTTTGCAGATGACACTAAAATTGGAGGTGTAGAAGGAGTTTACTTCAGAGTACAACGGGATCTCGATCAGGTGGGCCAATGGGTGGAGGAGTGGCAGGTGGAGTTTAATTTAGATAATTGCTGCAGTTTGGAAAGGCAAATCAGGGCAATACTTATACACTAAACGGTAAGATCCTGGGGAGTTTTGCTGAACAAAGAGGCCTTGGAGTGCAGGTTCTTGGATCCTTGACAGTGGAGTCACAGGTAGATAGGATAGTGAAGAAGGCATTTGACATGCTTGCCTTTATAGGTCAATGCATTGAGTATTGGAGTTAGGAGATCATGTTGCGGCTGTACAGGACATTGGTTAGGCTACTGTCAGAATACTGCATGCTGTTCAGCTTTCCCTGCTATAGGAAGGATGTTGTGAAACTTGAAAGGGTTCAGAAAAGATTCACAAGGATGTTGCCAGGGTTGGAGGGTTTGAGCTATAGGGAGAGGCTGAATAGACTGGGGCTGTTTTCCCTGGAGTGTTGGAGGCTTATAAAATCATGAGGGGCATGGATAGTTAAATAGTCAAAGTCTTTTCCCTGCGATGGGGGGAGCCCAAAACCAGAGGGCATAGGTTTAAAGTGAGAGGGCATAATTTAAAAGGGACCTAAGAAGCAACATTTTCATGCAGAAGGTGGTGCGTGTATGGAATGAGCTGCCAGAGGAAGAGGTGGAGGCTGGTACATTTACAACATTTAAAAGACATCTGGATGGGTATTTGAACAGGAAGTGTTTAGAGGGATACAGGCCAAATGCTGGCAAATTTCACCAGATTTATTTAGGATAGGTGGTTGACATGGACAAGTTGGACCGAAGAGTCTGTTTCCGTCTGTACATCCCTCTGACTCTATAAATGGATAACGATCTGGCTAGAAGGGTGAGTAGCTATTAATGGGGACTGTTCGTGGCTAACAATGGGTAGTTTGTAGTAGCCGACTGATATGTGCGGATTGGGATAAGGGCATGGGAGAGCTCAAGCCATAAAGTTATCGAACTCGATATTGAGCCCAGAGTCCTGAATGTTGGCCAGGCAACGGTGGTGTTTGAAGTGGCAGGCAATGGAAGCACAGGATTTTTTTTGCAGACAGAAATTTCTGTACCCTCAAATCCCTCTTGTGCTGCAACTTTCTGCACTCTACCTTCTTTTAAATAATATTCTGCTCTTTAAATTCAAGTCACGAATAAATCTCATTAATGATGATCATGAAACTGTTGGATTCTTCTAAAAAAACTATCTGCAGTTGAGTGAAATAAATTTGCTACTTCTAACTGGTCTGACCAAATGCAAGTCTATTAGTATAGGTGATTCTTAAATGCCATCTGAAATGGCCTGTTCTAGTTGTATCAAGCCCACTACAGAAAAATCAATATTTGATGTACTACAATGGTTGGAATCGAGTGATTCAAAAAGATACCACTCTGAACTTCCTCAACTACCTTTGAGAAGTTGGTGATGAATGCTGAAGTTGCCACTGACGTTTACATGCACAAAATAAATAAAGAAAAATATGGTCAACATCTTAAGAAATGTCTGTTAATGCACTTTTGAGACTTTATTGAAACAACTTCAGCACTTGTCAATTATATATTTCTAAGTACAACCTCAGTTTCTCAGTCAAATCTTGTGTGCCAATCAGATTAACGTAATTATAAATTCTTAACTTGCATGGTTCTTTACCCTCAACAGAGATAGCAAGTAACAGGTCTGCCCTGAGACCTTCGCTGTTGCTGGTCTTGAACTGAACGCAAATGGGTGTATAATAGCAGTCATGATCAACTCCCCTAATAATTTTCAGACATTTTAAATAAATATTGTACCAAAATTTTTCTCCAAACTGCATCTTCACTGACAGCCCAGCCATAATTAGCAGCTAAACGTCTAGGTTGGTAACAGTCCAGTTTGAGAAACAAGAGTAGCTTAATTTCGACCAAAGAATTTTTAAGGAATAGATAAACATGTTTATATTATGGAAAGGTCCCATTCATGATCATAGCTTGAAAGTTTACTTTGAGGAATCACATCAGAATCCTTTTAGCAATTAAAGGTCTGTTCTTGGTTTTAGACTATCCCCGTAATATTGGATGGTAAGGATGTCGTTGCAATGGCACGAACAGGTAGCGGTAAGACAGCAGCATTCCTTATTCCATTGTTTGAACGACTGAAGGTGCGCAATGCTCAGTCAGGAGCAAGAGCTTTAATCCTTACTCCAACCAGAGAACTGGCGTTACAAACCATGAAGTTCACAAAAGAGGTAAAATGTTACCTTATGGTTTGTTTTCAAGAAATGTAGTTTTACATTAAAATAATGCAAGTATGGAACCACCTTAATTAGTTCTGAAGTAAATTGTTGCATTCCTGTCACTACAATGAAAGGCCATATGAATTTTTCTTGCATTTTTTCTGAATAGTCTTGAAATTCTTTTGGTTCCAGTATACTTTATATTCTTACCAGCACTGTGCAATTATTATTAGGTAAGTAATGGATAAAATTTGAGCACAGTGATAGTTGTGCTTTATATTTTACTGTGGATATGATTGTTCTGTCTCGCTGCATCATACAAGGCAAGCCAATAAGAATTTGAGCATTAGGAAAAGCATGCTTATTATAGTGCTTAACAGATTAAAATACAAGTGTCTCAAATGTGTTTTAATCACGTAGAAAAAAACTTGCTTTTGTATAGAAATTTCATGAGCACGTTTTCTCAAAGTGCTTAACAGCCAATGGTATTACTGTTGTAATTTAGGAAATATTTGTCAAGGAAAGAAAAAATAACTATTTATACTACATCTTACCACAACTCTCAACTATTCCAAACTGCTTCACAAGCAGTTGATTATTTACTTTACATTGCGAACACTGTTTCAAATGTAATAAAATAAAATATTATAAAAGTAATGGACAAGATATTGGTAAAGTTGTTATATTACTGATTTATGTTTCCTCACTTCAGGACAGTTTACCTTGATACATAATGAGTTACTTTTTAATGTTAATTATAGCTGATAATTCTAAAGAATAAGTGTAGTATGCGACTGATTCAATTAATATTCCATTTTGTTTTTCAAAGTAACATTATAGTAAACTTTAAAAAAAAATACCATCCATACAAAACCGTACAGCGCATAATTTTCTGTTCTATTACCTTAATTTGCAGCTTGGAAGGTTTTGTGGCTTCAAAACAGCTTTAATCTTGGGTGGAGACAAGTGAGTACATTTTGGTGTGATAATTTGTAGTCTTTATAGTGTACCTTTATTGAGCCAAGGCAAGCCAAGAATGTAATGGATGTGTGGTACTTTTTTTTTCAGAATGGAGGATCAGTTTGAAGCACTGCACGAAAATCCTGACATGTAAGTTAACTTTTTGCTTAAACGTTATTTGATAGTAACAAACCACTTGAGAATGATTCCTTGAATTTGGTTAACTTTTTAAAATTCATTCAGAACTTTGTGTCGAAATAATGTGATGTAGCATTGCTTTGTTTGGTGTATTGTGAAGGTGTTCAGCTGCCTGAAATTCCATTTAAAATATCTCCCAGAAAGCCGCTGAGATCATCTTAAAATTATATAATCATCTTTAAAAGAAATATACCATTACTTCAAAAAAAGAAATCAGTTTAACATTTGTTGTTTTCGGAGAAAAGGCCAGCAGAAATACTGAATTAATAATGCTGTCCCTTCCTGTTTCTTTTGGGTGGATGGGGGAGCTCAGTAATAGAATTTGTCCTTTTTTGACAACTCAAGACAGCTTAATGGTCCTGTATGTTGGAGCACGTGCGCTCAGGCTTAATTTATGTCTGTACCTCATTGTTAGCTGGACAGACTTTGTTTTTTTTTCATATGCGGAGGAAGATTATGCATGGTGGTCTTTAGTCCTTCTGCAGCCTTGTCAACCTGCCCAACAAAAGTAATTTTGAACATTAGGAATTATTTAAACAGAACTATGGAAAGTAAGTCTTTAAGAGTTGCATAGATGAAGTGATCTATTTCTAGGTTTTCTAAATCACTTCTATCCTGTGATTGGTAAACATCAACCACTACATAGTCAGTTTTTCTTGCTTCAGTAGAAAATCATGTAAATCTCCAATATAATGTTGCTTTGAAAGCAACTAGCACAGTTGGATGTACTTGATGCATAACCCTTGTACAAAAATCTTGCATTTTTAAAGCACTTTAATACTTTTTGAAGTGTAGCCAGTGTTGCAGTGTAGGAAATGCAGCAATTATCTTGCCTGTTGGAAGCTGTCAGAAATAATATGACAATGACCAGATAATCTGTTTTTGATATGATGGGAAGGTGATGTTGATTGAGGAATGGATATTTGGTAATGTTTCAGGGATACCTCCCCTGCTCTTCTTTGAAATAATTCCATAGTTTTTTTTTTACACCTACCTGAGCGGCGGATAGGTCTTTTTTTAAAGTCTCCTAGTTTTTGAATGCAGGGATGGGACAGTAAAATCATTTCATATACTGATCCCGAAGCATGAAAGTACCTTTAACACAGCCTGCTTATGTGAATAGTCGACTAATTGCCTCTAGGACTCTTTGCTGAGAGTTTGGTCACTATTTTTACAAGAAGTTGCCATTGATTGCTAAATATGCAAGCATTGAATGAATGAGTACCTTACAAATTTATATGTATCAAGAATGATTTAATATAGTTGTATAACCTGCAATGCTTCTGCCCTGTCTGTTCATCTTACAGAATAATTGGCACACCGGGTCGTTTAATGCATGTAGTTGTGGAAATGAACTTAAAGCTGCAAAACGTTGAATATGTAGTCTTTGACGAAGCAGACAGGTAAAATGGATAGAGTGGAACCAATGTCACTTCCCAGTATTATTGTTTAATAATTTTTCATATATTTGTTACTGTAGTGTCAATTTCTTCTTTTAAATCATTTTTGGGATGTGGGCATCACTGGCTAGGCCAGCACATATTGTCTATTCCTAATTGTCTTTGAGAAGGTGATGGTGATCTTTCTTTTGAATCACAGCAGTTATTGGATTGTAGATACACCCACAGTGTTGTTAGGAAGGGAGATCTTGCCTCAGTGAAGGAGTGGGGATATAGTTTCAGTTCAGGGTGGTGTGTGGCTTGAAGGTGATCATGTTCCCATTCGTTTGCTGACCTTGTCCATCTAAGTAGTAGAAGACACAGGTGCTATCAGAGGAACCTAGGTGTTTTGCTGTAGTGCATCCTGTTGATGGTACATGCTGCTGCCACAGTGGTGAAGGGAGTGAATGTTGAAGGTGATAGATGGGATGGCAAACATGCCAGCTGCTTTGTTCTCAGTGGTGTCGGCCATCTGTATTATTGTTGGAGTTGCTCCCACTCAGACAAGTGGAGAGTATTCTCTCAAATTCCTGACGTGTGCATTGTTGACAAAGAAGTAACACATTACTTATAACGTTTTTCATAGCATCAGAATACCCTAAGACCATTGCAATCAATACTTCTGAAATATAGTCATTGTTCTAACACAGGATCTATGACAGCCAATTTACATGCTGCAATGTTCTACAAACAGCAGTAAGATAAATAATAAACTTTATTATATAGTAGATGTTGGTTGAGCAATTAAATATTGGTAGACCACAGAACTCTTCCTGATTTCCTTGCACCTTATCATGAAGTCATTTTGTTCTCCCCTGAGAAGACAGATTTGGCTTTGATTTAACATTTTATTAGAAAAGTGAAATTTTCAACAGTGGAACATTCCACAGCACTGAATTGAAATTTCAGTCTAGAGATTATGGGATTAAGTGAGGTTCAGATCTCAAAGGTAAATACTAAGCCATCTGAATTTGATATATTGTATGAAGAGTGATAACATTTTCAGGTTGAGTAATTTTGTTATTTTCGCTTATCATCCTTCAGAATATGGGTTGTTACAATCTTATTATAAATTGCTTTTCTTTGTTATGTATATTTTTACCTGGAATAAATAAATTTTCATGTACAAAAGTTCAGTTTTTGCATGTTTGACTTGTGTGGTCAAGTATACTGTAGAAGTCTGGGGAGAAGACAGAAAATTGATCATTGTGTAGATTAGCTGTCCAAGTGAAAAATATAAACATGTAAGTTTCCATCTGGATTGACTACAATCTTATACGCATAAGGAGCTATGTTCCACATTCTGGCATTTCCGGTCAACCCAAACACACACACAATGCTCGTGGTTTAAAACTGTTTTGAGTAAGATTGTATTTTTTAATCTGGTAAGTCAAAATAAATGAACAATCTTTTGTTTGTTGCTTGGGTAATTAGTTTATTTCAGAGATACACAATGATCTTCAGTACAATTTTCATATTATACATACTTAATAACCTGTTGTGGATGATAGCATGGGAATATGGTGTTGAGTAGATGATCAATCATGATCCAAAATGATGGTGCAGGCTCGTTGGGCTAAATGGCGTATTGATGCTCCTTTGTTCCTATCCGACAAGGACAAGTAGAGAGGAGAAATGTTTGCTGATGAAATGCCACTGAATTCTGCTATACATTTTTCTTTTGTGCTAGATTATTTGAGATGGGGTTTGCAGAGCACTTGCAAGAGATTATCCGAAGACTGCCAGACTCGAGACAGACATTGCTGTTTTCAGCCACACTGCCTAAGCAATTAGTGGAGTTTGCACGTGCTGGTAAAAATTTTAATCTTGTTTTGAGTAGTTTATTTTAGAACTTTCTGAGAATTCTCTTGATGTCCTTCATGCAGGTTCAGTAGTTTACTGATAAAACAGTTCTATATTTGAAATGAAAGAACAGTTTGTTGATTGCAAACTAACCTCTGGTTCAGGTAGTTAGGACACTGGGTAACTAAGACATAAAGGAACAGGAAGATACTGGTTTCAATCCCCAATTCGCATTGTGCAACACTAGTATATGTTAGGGTAGGGAGCGGAGAATCAACTTGGGTAATTTTCTGATTGCTGTCCCGCTATCTGTGCTTGAAAATATACACATTTGGATGATTGATGGGAGTGTGCCAGATTCAGTGGCAATGTCTTTTCTTTAAAGTTATAAAGCTATTTGATAAAATTAATAGTTTTCTAAAACATCTTCCAGGTTTGACAGAGCCAGTTCTAATTCGACTGGATGTGGACACTAAGCTGAATGATCAGTTGCAGGTAAAAAAAAAACTTCTAATGCTATGCCATGTTCAAATATTAAAAAAAAATGTTCACTTAATGTTGTATTTTGTACATCTTTATATTGTGGACAGTTGCAGTGAGTACATCTGTATTGGCCCAGGTCTTCCAAGGAACATCAATCATCATTTGATATCTGCTCTGCTGAAAAATTCCCTTAAGTCACAAACTGTTCCACATTTCTTCCGAATCTTCTATGCCTGGTTTTACCAGAAATGCAGAGTGCAGTATCGATTGAGGAAGTCTGTCAAAGCAGAGGTTAAGTTGGGAGGAAAGGGTGTACACTTTGTAAACGTTAACAGCTGCCATATGGTGTTTTAAATGACCATTTGAATGTTTGTGAATAATGAGTGGGTGAAAGGGTGAATAGATAGAATGGTGAGGCAGTAAGTGGGTGGGGATTAACAGATGGGCGAGCAGGGTGGGTTAGGAGTACTAAGTGGAGAGGGTGGATAGTTTGATGAGGCAGGGTAGGTATGGTGTATGATGAGTGTATATTGAAAGCACCAATTCTTCCTCCCATTCTGTCCATGAATCGGGGGATTGCTTAATTATGATAAAGTTGAATTGTGTTCCCAAATTCCCCATTTTGTGAAGTCCGGTTTTCCCAAAGCCGCAATCAGCAAATTTTCATGGACTTTTAAACATACTGGGCAGAATTTTATCATCTTTCTTAAGTTTGAGTCACGTTGAGTTTGATGGAGCAAATTTTGATGTGAAGACAAGTCATTATCAAACTCGTCACTCTAATTGCTGTTAGAGCCTTTGTGGCAAGAATCACATACAATTTGCATCCAATCTTACAAGGTACATTTTACTGGAACAATTTACCACTCTATACAGATCCCAGAATTGACCGGCATTCCAGACTCCAGCATCATATCTAAAAGGCTGTTGTGCACCTGGACAAGCACTGTCAGTTTGGTGCTTCCGTGAAAAGTTCTTGACATTTACCATGGTCATTGCTGTGTCTCTGCTACTGCTCTACCAACCTCGCTAATGCACACAACACCTCTACTCAACGTTATCCACCCCAAATTGCAATATCACTCACCCTCTGCACTGTCTTCTCGCTTGCTTGGAAAACCCTCACATATACCAACGGAAACAGCAGTACCAACCACTTCTCCCTTTCATAATATCAGCTTTACTCTCATTCCTCAAGGAAAACAGCCCTCGACAAGACAGAGTCAAGACAGGGGGTGTGTTGCCTATCATTTGACTCCTTGCTTTATGAGCAGATGACTGTGACTTCCTGAGCAGGTCCTCTGTGCCGGGATCCCCTGAGCGAAGGCTGTCTCCTGTGACTGGACTAAGGCCTGCTGATAACTGTGGCACGGTTCCTGGCTTTGTCATGGCAAAACAGTAGTCATATGAGCCCGATATCTCTGGCTGGGAGCGCAAAGTGCAAAAGGGCAAGGCAGAAATTCTGGAAATATCATGTAGGCACAGTGACAGAGCACTATTACAGCTAGGGAAGAGCCCAGAAATGCAGACCGTGTCCATCAGCTGGCTGCATGTCCCTGAGCATAAAGTGTCTTTACTGCAGCATCGCAATGATAGTTGTTGGTACAACCCAAGATGAAGCATTAAAATGCAGAAGCGTCCTCTAACTGGATTGGAGATGTGCCATGAATATTCATAGTGGCTAGCACGTGTGGGATGCCAGTGTGTGGACTCAAGGTGCTGTGGCCATTGCCCATGGATTATGCCTGAGGTGGTGCCCGGTGTCCAATGTGCAAGTCTATTGAAGTGAGCAGTGAGTTGAATTCACTCTGGTTTCCATGTAAAGTTTTTATGACGGCTAGAATGTATGGTTTAAGATCACAACCTGCAATAAGTTGGATTTAACCAGCGTTTAGCAAGCAATAAAGCGTGTCAGTCAGGAACTTGTCACTCCTTGGCACAAATTTTGCCGTGCCACTTGAGCAAAGCAAGGAAATTGCGGTGAGATGGTCTTGATATTGAGATGATCAACTCACCCAATGTTAACACCTATCTCACCATAGTCCATGTCACTCAGAGCCTGGTGAGATTCGGCCCCTAATATAATTTATTCTTGCCCACTTTTTTTTCCCAGAAATGTTGATGACTACTTCACAGACATACTACAGGAAAATTAAGTACACTTTTACAAGTAGTAAGACCAAACAGAGTGGTTACTTTTCACATATCATGAGAGTCCAGTGAGAGGGATCCAGAAACGTTCATACTGCTGAAGACGGGATTTTGTGGAGATTTTTTTCAGAACAAGGCATGTTCAGCAAATTCAATAAACAGCCTGAATGATACTTCTATCCAGTGGACCCATGTGTTTTTCCAGGTGCATTGAGGAGCTTTTGGAAACAGGTTTCAAGGAGGATTTAAAACTTCAAACCTTGAGACTTGGCAAAAAGCTACTGTTGTAGTTGTTCTGCAGTTCCTGCCATTGTTCTTTCTGATGTTACTTCTTACAGATCTTCAAGAGCAAACAAGCCTTGTTATAACAAAAATATCTTCCAACATTCAGACATCTGTGATTGTGTGATGACTAACCAGTGGTACACAGTAGAAAGGATTCAGTAGTTTGTTTGTGTTAATGACACAGTATCCACCAGTGAGGTCAAACTATTGAAGATACAGTAGAAGGTTCTTTGGGTATGAACTTCGATAGGTTTCTTTTGCCACTAAGCCCGTTTCAGAGACTAGAGATTTGGGCTTATTGATGTGCTTAAAAGTGGATCCTGATGGTGGCACATGTGGAAATCAATAGGAAGATTGTTCAGGCACGTCCTTGTAATCCACTTCTAAAAGGCTCCAGGAGCTAGGTCCACACAATTTCAAAAGCTAGTTCATCTGGGCAGCCATTTTAATAGGCTGAAAATATCTATTTTGAAAAGGGAGCACAGTTTTTGTCAATTTATGATGTTCTTGTGCCTGTTTGGCGTGACAGGTCTGGTCAGAGGATAATCAGGCCTTTCTGTGGGGGCAGGGGGTGAGTGGTGAGGATGTGGTGAATGCAGATGGTCCCAGCATGGGAGCTCCTTGTCAGAAGTTCCTAGGCAATTCCCATATAGCTGAATGTGCCAGGACTTCGACAGGGTCTCAATAGGCTTCTTCAGTGTATGCCTAGTCTCCTACAATCTAAAGACTAACAGATTCAGACCATTATGTCATTTACTTGTCTGAAAAATATTATTACTGTAAATGTCTACACCACAGAGGGATTTGGGATTTCTCCTGTATGTATCAAAAGAAAACAACCTGCAAGTTCAGGTGGTAGGGAAGGAAAATGGACAGTTGGCTTTTTTTTTAACAAGAATGTAAAATAGGGATGTCTTGCTAAAACTATACAGGGTACTAGATGGTTCTGAGGAAGGGTCACCGGACCAAAAACGTTAACTCTGTTCTCTCCTCCACAGATGCTGCCAGACCTGCTGAGCTTTTCCAGCAACTTTGTTTTTGTACTAGATGGATCATCTAGAATACTATGAATAGTTTTGGTTCCCAATCTAAGAAAGATATATTGGCATTGGAAGAAGTCTAGAGAAGGTTCATGAGATTGATCCTGTGTATGGAAGGATTTTCTTATGAGAAGTTGAATAGGTTTGGCCTATACTATTTGGACGCTAGAAGTGACCTCATTGAAACATACAATATTCTTAGATGCGGAGAGGTTATTTTCCCTTGTGCAAGAGCTCAGAACCAGACGATATAATCTCAGGGTAAAGCGTTGCCTATTTAAGATGGATATGAAGAGGAATTTCTTCTGTGAGGGTAGTAAATCTGTGGAATTTTTTTACTACAGAGAGCTGGGGTGGAGAGATTTTTAATCAGTAAGAGGATGAAGGTTATGGAGAAAAGTCAAGAATGTAAGGTTGAGGATTATCAAATCAGTCGTGATCCCATTAACTGGCGGAGCTCACTCATTGAGCCAAATGGCCTGCTTCTGCCTCTGTGTCTTACGGTCTTATGGTTACCTGCTTCCATTTGGTTTCAGTTTATGACAGTGCTAAAGTTGAAATAGTCGACCTTTTCTGATAAATTAAGTATCTAACAAGCCAGAAATGTTTGGAATTGGAAGATGCTTACAGATACAGATTGCTTTAAAGATTCCATTTCTTCACATCTATGTGGAACTTATGCTAGTGAAAGTTTCATCTGTTGTGGGAGTTAGTTGATTAAGAAGTATTGGTAAATGGGTATAAGCTGATCAAGGTGTTTCTGTTGGATGATATTAAGAATTAACATATTATTTATGTACCATTCCTTCTGATTAAGGTCTAATATTTGATAATTATTTTTGGAATAACAAGCAGTTAACACAGATTTATACTAAAAAATTGTATTTGTTATTTTACAGATGGCATTTTTCCACGTACGGTCTGATGATAAAGCTGCCGTTCTACTTCACTTGATGAGAAATATAATAAAACCTCAAGAGCAGACTGTTATATTTGTTGCTACCAAACATCATGTGGAATATTTGAAAGAGGTTTGTGTGAAAAGGAGGTTGCACAAAACTGTTCAAATAAAAATTCAGCATCGCCAAAAATCAAAAGCATTTCTACATTTCTTAATGATTTCCATACTTGACAGTATTTAACTTCAAAGCAGAAATTTGAGTACTGAAATAGTGTTAAATTTCAAAATGGACAATCTTAAGTTACATCCCTTTCCTCAATGCACATCCAGAATAGATCTGAATCACTAGTTGCAGATATTGTGATGTTGATTATATGAATGGTGAAATTAATGTCTGATATCATCCTGTGGCTTCAAATACTTCCTGCCCAATTACTCAGCACAGTTGTTTAATCTCTCTTCCTTAGCACCGGTTATTAATATATTTTCTTAAATTTGTGCATTCTCAGATCAAAACCTCTTGGCTTAAGGCTAGGCCCATTATAATCTACGTTTGTAGTGGCATCAGAGAGTAAATGGGGTGTTATTTTGAGTTAGTATTCACCAGAATAACAGAATTGTTATATTGCAAAAAGAGGTTATTCGGCTTGTTGCTTCTGCACCAGTTCTCCCATTGAGAAGGTCACTTAGTGCCATTTTCCTGTCTTCCCTACGTAACCCTGCACATTATTCCATTTTAAATAACTGCCAGTTCCCTTTTGAAATCCTTGATGGAATATGCCTGCCTCACACGATCCCTCACTAACCTCTCATTGAGAAACCTGCTTTGCAGTTGATTGGTCATGTACCTTGAGTTTTAGGCTGTAGTTGTAGAATATAGAGTCCACAATTACTACCATCTGGAAGGAAAAGGGTGGCAGATAAATGGGAATATCACCTTCCAAGCCACTCACCATCTTGACTTGGAAATCTATTGTCGTTCCTTCAATGTTGCTGGGTCAAAATCCTGGAACTCCCTCCCTAATTGTATGTAGGTGTACCTGTACCAAATGGATGGTAGTGGTTCGAAAAGGTTGCTTGCCACCACCTTTTAAAGGGCAACTAGGGTTGGAGAATAAGTGTTGGCCTAACCAGCAACGTCTATATCCTGTGAGTGAATTTTTAAAAAAGAAGTTTGACCAGTTTGAGCTGGTGGCAGCCTAATGCGAAGTGTGCTGACAATATTATGATTATATCTGAGTTTGTCCCTAGCTGCAGTTCAGACAAGGTCCTTTCCTATTGTGTATATAAATTATCCAGGTGTTCATTGGATTGCAAGAATATTTTTAAAAGTTGTCATCACATTTGGATTAGTTCAGTTTCCAAATGCTGTGAAATGCCCCCTTGCATGTTGCTTTCATCACTTAGTTTTAGTTTGTTTGGGTGTCTGATGGGACCTTTCACCTGACTTATAACTTTATTTTGACACAGAAGTATCAATTTACTGACAACTTCATTAGTATATTTGTTGTGAAGATGGGAAAGCATACTTCCATCTAACAGTTGTGATGAAGAGCTACTACAGTCAAAATGTTAACTTTTTTTTCCCTCATAGATGCTGCAGAGTTTTATTTGCATTGTTTATTTTGTTTATTTCCAGCATGTAATTTTTTTTTATGTAGATAAGTGTTATCCTATCTTCATGATTATAATGACTTTTTTGTTCTCCCAGATCATCACCAGACAGGGTATTGACTGTTCATACAGCTACAGTGCTCTTGACCAAACAGCAAGAAAAATCAACATTGGGAAATTTGTCCACAGAAAGTGTATGGTGATGATCGTCACTGACGTTGCAGCTCGTGGTATTGATATTCCCATGTTAGACAATGTTATAAACTACAACTTTCCATCCAAAGCAAAGCTTTTCTTACATAGAGTAGGTAAGTAAATATAAAATTTGCAAATCTGCAAAAATTTAAATATTGCTGGAGTGAAGGGAGGCCAAAATTGGGGTTCATGCAGTGAGTTGTTTACACCCTGCAAATTAGGACCAATTTGAAGGACGAGGTGTTTATTTCTGTTCATTTTCATAAAGTAATCTTTTGTTCTGATTAAATCTGAGGAAAAACTCTCTAGATATCAGTCCACACTAATAGGCAGGATGCTTCATAACTACCAAAAATTACATTGAATATTTTAAGAAAACTGCCTGAAACGCGTAGTTCTTTTATGATTTGAATCCATTTTACCTTTGATTTTTATCTTGGACCTTATGGAATATTAAGTGATCATGCCTACAGTGTTTTACATGTTCTTTGGTTTTAAAACATTGTGATTTTTCAAGTAGTGATTCTCTCTTAAGTTGCAGCAAATGCCTATGCTGCAAAGCCTTGATAAAACAAATTGAAGCAGCTCTAAGGAATATTGTGAATATTTTAAATTCATATACTATCCGTTTACCAAAAGCAGTGCTTACAGTACTCATGTTTGTTAAATACAAAAAAAAGCATGTACAGTTGTGATGGAATTAGAACTTTTTAAATTATATGTACCTCATTAAGTTGTAGTTAGAAGATATTTCTCATTTTAAAGAATTCAACATATTGTAGAATCACTAATTGTTGATAAACATGCAGGTTTTTATGTATGTAGATTATTCTAGTTTTATATTGTGGACTAAATTTTCTATTTATTGGAACATATTTTAAGATAACATAGCAATATCATTTAAAACTAACAGCAGATATATAAAATTGTTAACTGTGGATCAGGTCGAGTAGCCAGAGCTGGGAGAAGTGGCACAGCTTACTCATTGGTAGCCCTGGATGAAATTCCATATGTTTACGATTTACATTTGTTTCTTGGGCGACCCCTCAAATTTGCAAGCCAAGCTGAGGATTCTGAAGGTAATTCTGCATGTTAGGTATCTAATGAAAGTTTTCTTTTGGTTTTTAATTAAATGCGTTATGTTTTATTAAATACTAGTCTAGTAAATTAATAGTGCGTGGCTTTTGGCGAAACTAAAGTTTAGATTTATTTATTCTACTGTTATTTCAACTGCAATTTAGGAAGCAATTTTATTTGCATTATAAAATGCACCTTTAGTCTTCCAGGTACTGATTTGGCTAATCTAATTTTCATAAAAATCTCAATTCTGTCTTCTGGAAAATGTGGAGCCATGTGACATTGAGACATTGATCTTACAGCATTCTCCTGTCTAAAACACTATACAGAACTTAAGACATGTTATGAAACTAAAAAAATTGAACCAATAGTTCCAACTTCAAAGAAGTTGTGATATTTTCTTTCATAGCCTAAACATTTCTGTCATGATTGTAGTGAGATCAGCCAGCTGGACCTGCCAGAATGAGTTCCTCGATTGGTGCTGTTAACCTGGTTCAATCCAGGAGTCCTGGCTGACAAAAAAGATTGAGTGTCATAGGTACTAATGTTCTGGTGCCTGAGTCTGAATGAGGCAGTACTATAGTCAATGGAGGAAAGGAATTATGACATTATTTTTGCAGTAGGAGTCACTGTGAACTGCCACTGAGCTTTGTATCTTATTCTGCCATAGGCTGAATTTTTAAATCTCTATCTCTATCTCTGTATTCAGAAACAAGTGGAATATATGGCAAGGTACCCCAGAATACCATAGATGATGAGGAATCACTACTTACAGCAGACCATAAGGCTTCACTAGATCTTCAGAACCTAAAAAGAGTGTCTGAGAATGCTTACATGCAGTACCTGAAGTCACGACCAAATCCTTCTCCAGAATCAATTAAAAGGGTTAGAGAAATGGACTTTTCAACACTGGGGATTCATCCATTATTTGGTAAGTTAAGTATACTTAACTTTTAAAAATGCTAGGTAGTCAGTTTATGGGAATAATTGTCATATTGATGAACTGCTATTGTCACAACATTTGTTCTTTTTATGACAGTTGTATTCCAAAAACACAGCAAGAAAGAGGTTTCAAACTGTTGCTACAAGATCAACACTTAAAAAAACATTTTTTAGGCCTTCTATCCCTGGACATCAACCATGAAAAAGAGAAGAATGGTTGATCCCTACTAAGCAAATGCTTACGGCTGTAGTACCATGTCTCCAGTGCTAGTGAGCTTACCCTCAATAGACAGCTTCCTTGGAGACAGACTGTAACATTTTATTATTTTTCTGTTTTGTCAATTTGTTTTAGGTAAAATTCCCACACTGAAATTTTGACCTAATAAAACTTGAAGCTTGTATATTTTCTTATTTTTAAGGTGTGAACATAAAAGATGCAGAACTTCAAAGACTAAAAATTATTGACAGTATCAAAAACTACAAAGCAAAATCTGTAAGTGAATACGTCTGTTTATTATTGTTTTTAGTCCATCTCATGTCAGTGATTTTAAGCTAAGTAGTATAGTTTCCTTACAAATTTTACAGACCATATTTGAAGTCAATTCTACAAATAAAACAACTGCAAGTGAGATCATGAGGGTGACGCGAAATAAGCAGAGACAGGTTATAAACAAATTTCAACAATTAAAGGAAGAAAAGCAAGCAGCTGCATCTAAGAACATGCCAAACCGGATGGAAGCAGATCTCCCTGATGAAGAAAGCATTGAGGTTAGTATTTTTTTTATGGATGCAGTGAGCTGACAATTTATTCATTTCAGTTTTAAGAGATGGGTAGCAGTTAACAAAGAGCTTGTTCATAGTTGGGACTATCACAGTCTAGCTTCATTTTTGTCCTCACTTATACGCTTTAACAGAGAATATTCTGGGGACACAGTAGAAGAATGGGGAGGAGTTAACTAGTGATTGGCTTGGCTATGGCTAGGTTTAACAGGTAAGGTCAAGAACTTGTGCTTACCCTAGGCATATCTCCTGAGATGTTTAATATCTTAAGATCCAAAGTATCATCTTTATCATGCTATTTACAGAAAAATCCAGGTGGAATATTTTCTCCTGGAGTGCCGTTTTGCATTTGACCTGAAAAGACCAAAACTATTTCACCATTTTGTTTCGAAGCATTGAAGACTTTGAGTTTTTAAGAAACTGTTTGCCCTCAAGAACTTTGAGTATCTTCATTAAAATGAGCTGCAGCGCCATCTTGCATTTCACATTTAGAATTGAAGCCTAATATATGGCAATAGATCTGATATGGGCTTTTTTTTTTCTTTGCATGGTTTCATTCTTAAATCTCTATGAAATGTTTCGGTATGAAGAGTGGCAATTCAAAATGTATATTTTCTAATAGTTGTGTGTGCGTCGTTGGCATAGCCAGCATTTCTTGACTACTGTATTCTCAAGGGCAGTTGAAACTAATGAGGTATTGTCTTGAACCTTCTAATCTGTATGGTTAGGTAACCTACAGCTCAAAGTAGTTTTGGCAGTTGTGTCAAAGGTGAAGTATGTTACCTTTTGCATCAGAGAAAGAATATGCAATGTCTATTTTATAGGGCAATCTACAAATCTGTCTTCTCTGATCAATTAACATATTATTCTTCACTGTCACTGTCAATTGTATTTTGTATTGACAGACTGTCTTCTCTGAAGTTATGGGGAGAAAAAGGAAAAGTAAACAACCAACAGATAATTTTCCCAAAAAGAAGAAAGAATGTGAGCGGGATGAGGAATTTTATATCCCCCACCGACCTAAAGATTTTGATTCTGAGAGAGGGTAACTACTTAACCTCTTTACTCTTTAACTCAGAAATTTTATTAGCTGGAATGCATCACTGTTTTTATGAAATGCCAATTTACTGTGTTTCGTATGTGCCTAATTCTGCTGATAATAAAACAGAAGTTATAGCCATTTTTTATACATCAGGAAGGGCAGAAATCATAACATTGACCCTTGGGGTACTCCAGTGTAAACCTTCCTTCAGTCTAATAAAATAACAACCACTGCTGTTTCTTTTCTGTCATCCAACCAATGTTGTACCCATGTTGCTACAGTCCCTTTCCCATTAACTCTTATCTTTGCACACATACCTGTTGTGTGGCATTCTCTATCATATACCTTTTGGAACTCCAGCACATTGGTTGCATTACCCTCATCAATGCTGTCTGTTAGTGCATTTTTTTAAAAAAACTCAAGTTAGGCACAATTTGCTGTTATCAAATCTGCGCTGGCTTTCCTTAATTAACCTGCATTTATGAAGTGAGTCGTAATTTTGTACTCGATTTTATGGGTTTTTTTGTTTGAAACCTTACAACTATCTTAAATTGACTGGCCTGTAGTTACTGGGCTTATCTTGACACACAATTTGATCAAGGGTGTAACATTTGCAGTTCTTGGGCATCAGCCCTAAGTATAAAAAAAGATTGGCCAGTGCCTCTACAATTCTTACTCGCTGGCTTCAGTATTCTTGGATACATTCTCATCTGATCTTGGCACCATATCAACTTCAGATAGAGACACTGTCTATCTAATAACACAACCTTATCAATTTTAAATCTTTCAGGTATCTGGACTATCTCTTCTTTCACCTTGACCTATACAGCATTTAATACTACTTCCCTAGTGTGTTATGGACAAGACCACACCCTCTCCATATTTTAAGAAGGTAGCCTAGACGCCAGTCTTTTCTTATTTTAAAGGTAGCTGTGAAGTGCCATGTTCCAGACGCAATGTGGCTGGTCAAACTATTTGATGTTAAGCAAAACAATTTATTTAAACACTATAATTAAAACACAAACAAAAGGAACAGGAATTTAGAATAACTTAACTGTTGGAAAATGTAACTAAATAATGAGATGCAATACCTATTATTAATGAACTGTTCCAATATAGTAACATCCCATAAACACATCCCTTGGTAAAAAAGCAAATTGAGACACACATTCTCACGTGCAGTTCTCCAATCCAGGAGAAAAAAATCGAAAGAAAATTCAGAGCAAGTAGCAGTGAAGAGACATTCACTGAAGTTTCCAACTCTTTTGAGACCCCAAAGACTTCTGCTATAAACTAAATCTAAAAAACTTTTTTTAAAAATCTAGAAAATCTGGTCTGTGAGAGCTGGCCACACCTAGGCTGCTTCCATTCTTCCAACTTTTAAAAAGAACCCAAGCCGTCACAAATTGTTTACTTTCTTGGAGACATCTCTTCACCTCTGCCTTACAACCTCTCTTCAAAAAACAAGGGACAAAATAACCTCTTAAAATGACAGCATCATCACAAGTGATAGTGCTGGTGATGGTACTTAATTCCTTCTCCATATTCTTCAATATAAATGGAATTTTTGAAGTATCTTCTACCGTAAAAATTGATTCAAGATAACTGTTTAACTCCTCTGCCATTTCCTTGTTCCCCCTAACTGTAACTCCAGATTAATTTTCCAAGGGGTCTGTGTAGACATTGACTTTGACCTCTCTCTTCCTTTTTGTATATTTAAAGAGGCTCTTATTGTCAACTTTCATATCTCTCACTCCTTTGCCCTAGGTTTATTTTCTTTGTCTTTATTACCTTTTTAATCCTCCTTTTCTGGATTATGTATGTATCCCAGTCTTTGGTGCTGTAGCTGACTTTGCCTTCTTGTATGCTGTTTCTTTCAACTTGATACTCTCCTTAACTCCCTTGGTTAGCCATGGTTGATTTTGCCCTCTCTTAGAATCTTTCCTCCTTGCTGGGATGTGTACTTTTGTTGAGAGTCATGAATTATCTCTTGAAATGTTTGCCACTGCTTGCTTACTGGCAATCCTGCTAATCTATCCACGCAGTTCACTCTAGCTAACTGTATCCTCATTTCATTGTAATTCCCGAACACACACTCTGAATTCGATGTCATGGCCACCCTTTCCAGTTTGATTAACCCAATCAACATGAAGGTAAAAGTCACCCATAATTATTACTTTATTCTTTTTGCAAATTCCTACCATTTGTTGATTGATAGCCTTTCCTACAGTGTAACTACTGTTTGGAGGCTTTGTACACTACTACCACAACTACTTTCACTTGATTTAATTTCATGGGACATCATGGGAAATTCATGGGTTTTTTTAACCTCCACCCAAATGAACTCCACATCATCCAAGTTTAGTTCATCTCTCATTAACAGTGTTACCTTACCATTTTTTCCATCCTTCTTGTCTTTCTGAAAGGTCAAATACACCTGAATGTTAAGTTCCCGCATTTGATAATCTTGTAACTATGTTTCTGTAATGACCATGAGATCATATTCATTTATCTTGATTTGTGCTGTCAGTTCATCTACCTTATTCTAAATGCTCGTGCATTAAGATACAAAGCCTTTAAGTTTCTTGTATCATTGAATTTCCCTAAACGTTTATTCTTCCTTGGTGCAATACAGCACAAATTCTTCCCTTCCTTTTAATTTTTGGTAACAATCAGCCACATCACTAACCTTCAATCCTACCTTCTCCTTTATCTTTGATTTTATAATTTTCATGCAGCTGAATCACCTCTTTTCTCCCCCCCCCATCCCCCGACAACCCATTTAATTTAAAACCCTATTCACAGCCCTAGTCAGGTGATTCACCAGGACTCTGATCCTAGCATGATTCAGGTGGAGCCCATTCCATCGGAAAAGCTCCCTCTTTCCCCAGTACTGGTGCCAATGTCCCATGAATTTAAACCCATTTCTCCCACACTAATGTTTGAGCCACACATTTTACCTTTTGCTGACCTTATGTCAATTAACTGATGGTTCAGATAGTAATCTGGAGACTTCTACCTCTTTTTGTTCTACTTTTTAAGTCTGCCTGTAGCTGCTCAGATTCCCTCAGCAGAATCTCTTTGCATGTTCTACCTATGTCGCTGATACCTACATGGACCATGACAACTGGATCATTTCCCTCCCATACCAAGTTTCTTTGCAGCCCAGATGACATGTCCTCCACACAGTCTTCTGGAGTCTTGATCCTGGCCACAGACAACAGTGTCTTCCCTTGACTAAAGTATCCCCAGTCACAACTACATTTCTCTTCCCTCCCAGTTGTTAAATGGCTCCTTGCATCACGCTCATCCTCCCTATAGCCCTGCTCTCAACGAAACATGAAGCAAGAATCTCAAACCTATTAGACAAGCTGAAGGGCTGAGGCTTCTGCAGTATGACCTCCTGGATCCCTCTTCCTGCCTTGCTTGTAGTCACACCACTCTGTCCCTGATCACCAACTGAAGTAGTTAATCTAAGGGATGTGACACCTCCTGGAAAACAACGTCCAGGTAACTCTTCCCCCTCCTGATGTGTTGAGTGTTCAAAGCTGAGACTCCAGCTCATCAACTATGAACTGCAGCTTCTTAAGCAACCAGCACTTGTTACAGATGAGGTTACTATGAACTACAGTGGAGCCCACCGGCCCCCTTGTCACAGAGGTACAACACATCACCTGGCCCTGCATCTCTATCTTATTTACTTAGCTAATTTGTTTATTTCAAATTTCCTATTGGTCTTTTAGTTTTTTATTTGTAAAATATTTTGTGTTTAATTTTTCATCCAAAAGTAACTTAAGAGTCAAATTATCAGCTATTGCTAACCAGTGAATTTACAGCTTTCCTGTGATGTTACTCCCTTTCTGCTGTGCTGAGCCAGTGATCCTGGGCTTCGTTATCCTGTTAAAAGACCTTCTAAACCATGAACCAAAAATGCAAGCAAAAAGCACCTCCTCCTCTCTGCACCAAATTCTCGTGCAAAATTCCAGAAATAGATGAGGACTTGTGCTGTGCCTCACTCTGGATGTTATCTCTCCTTCCTGACCATGTGAAGCTTACTGATTTGAGAGGCTGCCCAAGATGTAGTAATTATAGCATGGGTTAGTTAGGACAAATTGCTTGTTTTTGTGCAGTACATTTTTAGTTCCTATTTCTGATGGTGCAAGAATCCATTGTTTAAATGACCCTGTGTGACAGTTTAACCTGAATATATGTATAATAGCTGTTTATCCGGAAATGAAATCCACAGTAACAGTGACTCTTCTTTATGACACTGCTTTTCAAACCAGTGATTTCAGATGTGTAGTTCATTGAAGTTTTATCTTTTATTTTAAATCCATGCTTTTACTTTTTTTTGAACCTAGATTAAGTTTAAGTGGGGAAGGTACATCCTTTGAACAGCAGGCATCTGGAGCTGTTTTAGATTTGATGGGTGATGAAACACAAGATATGCAAAAGAAGAAACAAATGCTAAAGTGGTATGTATTATTCATAAAGTGCTTTTACTTCATAACTTAGGAGTTTATTTGATGTCTACTACTGGATATTTTCAAAGTAGATCTTGAATGGATAGAATTTAACTGGATATGTATAGAAATTTAGAAACCAGGAGCTGGAGGAGGCCATTTGGCCATTCGAGCCTGCACCGTTCGGTGCGATCATAGCTTATTCTCTCAGTGCCATATTTTTACTTTATCCTTGTATTCCTTGATGCCTTTAATATCTAAACATTTATAAGTCTCTGTCTTGAATATATTCAGTGACTTGGCCTGCACAGTTTCACCACTGACTGGGTGCAGAAATGGTGCTACCTGTCAAAGTGGCCTGCCTTGTATCCTGACATTGTGACTGCTGATTCTAGACTCCCCAACCAGAGAAAACATCCTCCCTGATTCTAGCGTATCTATCTCTGTTTGAATTTCATACATTTCAATTAGATCTGCTCTCATCCTTCTAAACACTAGTTAATATAGGCCCAGTTGAACTCATCTCTACTCATAGGATCGTCATACAATATTGGTATGAACTTAGTGGATTTCTGCTGCACACCCTCTATGGAAAGCGTATCCTTCCTTACGTAGGAAGACCAAAATTGCACACAATACTCCAGGTATGGTCTCACCATGGTCCCTGAATAACTGCAGTAAGACATCCCTACTTCTGAACTCAAATCATCTTGCAATGAAGATGAACATACAATTTGCCTTCCTAATTACTTGCTGCACCTGCCTATTTACTTTGTTGACTGGTGTGGAAGGACACTGAGAACCCTCTGTACTTTCACATTTTTCAATATATTACTATTTAAATGATACTCTCTGCCTTTTTCTTTCATGTGCTAATATAAATAGAATCGTTTGTCAAACTGCCAGAACCTTTTACTAACAGGAATGTGCTATACCATAGTATATGTACAATGTACAACGTTGAAATCACAAAGCCCTACACTACTGAAGGCTGGCATATAGTGACTGCCTTATCAGATGATCACGAGTGTTTTCATCACTATATTCTTGCCATTTCTGTGTGTGAACAGAAATATCGAGCAAAAGTATTTGCATTGACCATTGCATTTGATGCCCCATCCGTGGAGATGTGGAGCCTCTTGAAATTTCCAAACATATTTTGGATAAATTGCGTGTGATAATCTGGATTTTCTTCTAAAATAAAACAAAGAACTATGAATGCTGGAAATCTGAAACAAAAACAGAAATTGCTGGAAAAACTCAGCAGGTCTGGCAGCATTTGTGGAGAGAAAGCAGAGTTAACATTGCCAGTCTAGTGACCCATCTTCAGAACTGATGGTAGCTAGGAAAATGTGGTATATGTGCTAAAAACGTTTGGTGGGGAGAGTGCAGGGAAAGGTGGAGTTGGAAAAGAAGAAGAGTGATGGGCAGAGATGGAGCCCAGAGACTCAAAATGACATTAGGCAATCAAAGGGATGAATGGTAATATACCAGGGAGAAAGAAAAGCTGATAATGGGAATCACAAGTAGGTGAATGTAGGTTGGCGGTGCTGAAACCAGCTCATGTCATGACAGAGGTGCAGGGGGTGGGTAAAGGACACAGCGGAAGGTGTTGAGGTCTAAAATTATTGAACTTGGTATTGAGTCCTGAAGGCTGCAGTCCCCAGGTGGAAAATGAGGTGCTGTTCTTTCAGCTTGCATTGAGCCTCACTGGAGCTCTGTACCTGGCTTGAGACCAAAATGAAGAGTGGGAGAATATGGGCTGGAAAGCAATTGGAGAACAACAAGGGAGCAGCTAGTTGGAGGGTTGACAGTATGGTAAGCAAGTGAGTAAGAAGCTCGGCGAGATGGTGAGGTGACATGCTGGAGAGTTGAAAAAGCGGGAGAGACAAGGCAGTTTTCTTTTGTACTAAGTGACTGACTGCTTAGTAACTGCTTTAAAGTGGAAGTGATGAAAATGCTATGAGGGCATTGTTAATTTGCCAATCCCACTGTTAGAACATACTTTAAATGGGAAATACTTGTATCTCACTTTGTCTACTTTACAGGCAATCAAAATTACAGTTTCTGAAGAAAGGTCACAGGACTTAATTCTACTTTATGTCCACAGATGCAGCCAGACTTGCTGAATTTCCCTAGCAAATTGTTTGTGTTTCAGATCTTCAGCATCCACAGTTCTTTTGTTGTACTTTACTGCATAGTCAATATTTTCACAAATCTTTTGAAACCATTTCTCATATTTCATTAAAAATACATGTGCTGCAAACCAGCAGAAACTTCCCAATCCCTTTCTCATCATGCTAATTATGTCTTTGTAATTTTTGTTTTTAATCATGCACAACATTGGAATAAGAAGTTTTCCCATTTACAATATTTAAAAATAAATGTTGTATATGGGGAAAACTTATTATTCCAACATCCTTTAAACCAAAATGAAGTTTTGAATATGTTTTTAATGTTTTAATTTATTTTTTAAGTTTAATATAGTATTTTTTAAACATTTGGTAGGTGCTAATATAAAAAGAAATTATTGAAATTTTGTGCAGGGACCGTAAAAAGAAGCGATTTATCAGAGACACGAGCCAGGAAAATAAGAAAATAAAGACTGAAAGTGGAAGATATATCAGTGCTTCTTACAAGAAAAACATGTATCTTTTTTTTTAATTGCGTTTCATTTCACTTACTGTTGCATCTTTGCTTTTTGTTAGATCGTATATTAACCTAAAAATGAAATAGATCAAATAATTTGCCGTGTGTTACATTGAGATTCTTATTTAGCAGAAGTGCCCATGTACAATTCTTGGATCAGGAAGTGATGCACTGGTTGAATAACGAATTGGTCAGATCTCATCTGGAACACTGAATTCAGTGTAGGGCACCAAACCTCAGGAAAGAAATCTTGATCTTGGAAGCAGTATCAGAAAAAAGCATTGAAATAGTAGCCAAAGTAAAGTGGTTAAATTGAGGACAGTTGACAAGACTTGACTTATGTTCCCATAAGTGTTAAAAAGTGAGGGATGATTTAATCTAAGCATGTAAAACAGTAGATTCAGAGGTATTAATCTAGAACGAGGGGATATGTTAAATTTACAGCCAGACTAAGCATTTAAGAATGGAATCTGAACCACTTTTCACAAAATGGCAAATAGGAATTTGGAACTTGGTACCTAATAGATTTTTAGTGGGTCAAGATGTCAAGGCAATCCTGTTCAAATATTGTTGTTAAAGATGGGAGAAGCTTGAACGACTTGACTGTAAAATAGAGGTGATTTTGTAGAAGTATACAAGCTAGTGAATAGTATGCAAATGATGCAGGTGAAAGTAAACTTTGCATAAATTGCGAGAATAGGACATAGGGAAATGTTTTCATAACTAGGTGGCAAATATACTGAAATCAAAACTTGTTTCCTTTACAAACAGTGATCATTACATAGAATATTTTCCAAATTACTTTGTAGTATCATAAGTCCAGAATGATTTTGGAACTGTTTGTATGTTGTAATGTGGGGAAGATGGTTGGTGTAGCTTTGATTGGAGGAACCAAGACAGGCTGAACTGAAGGTCTTCCTTAAATAATGGTCTGGAATTATCTAGGATGCAAGAAAAGCACTCTCAATTTCCTTTGATTTTGGTTTATGGTCTTGATCATTCCTAAGTTGAAAGGACAGGTTAATGTTCTGCATTGAAACTCTGAGTTGTACTGAAGGCAGACATCCTTAGCATTTTCCTTTGCCTCCCTGTTTGTACGTTACAGGTCTACATTACATTCAGGATCATCCATTTTTACTTCTAAAGAATTGAATTTAAATTTAAAATTTGCTATGTGATATAATCATTCTATTATCTAGTCCATGACAACTAAATACTTTTGGAATCAGAGACTGAAAATAACCTAACTATAACATCATAATGGACAAAAATTCTGATCTAAGCAAATTCAAAAATAGATCTTAGGCATATGTACACAAATCTTTGGATGTTGCAGGCTATTTGCAAAGTTTGTTCAAAAAGCATAAGAATTCCTGGATTTTGTTAATGGAAGAATAGAGTGCAAAAATAAGGTAGCCATGCTAAATCTTTGCAAAACACTGGCCATGATGGAGTATTCTATTCAATCTAGATGTCATATTTTTGAAAGGTTGTCAAAGTAGTAAAGTACAAAGTGTGCAAAAGAGATTTAGTGGAATCATACCAGGGCAGAGAGAATTCAGATCTTTGAAAATTTGGAGAAGCTTGGATTGTTCTCCTTTTAAGCAAAGATTGTTGAGGAGGTTTGATCGAGATGTTCCCAATCTTAGAGTTTTGATAGAGTAAGGAGAAGATTTGGTAACCAGCTGGCACAAATTTAACTTGATTAGTAAAAGAAACTGAGGCAATATGAGGAAAGAGATTTTTACGAAGCAAGTTGTGATCGAGAATGTACTGCTTGAAAAGTTAGTGAAAACAGTAATATTCCAAAGAGGATTGCACAAATTCATGAAGGAAAGGAAATTACATGGTTCATAGACGTGTAGGATTAGCTTAATAACTGTGCCAAAGATTAGACATGAGCATAATGATCTGAGATGCCTCCCTCTATTCTGTATATTTCTATGGGATTCAAATATATTTGTTTTGGCCACTTATTAGATGTACCACTCTGTCCATTTGCAGTCAGATTTGATGATATAACTGTAGAAAACCAAATTGATAACTTTTAAAAAGATAGTTGAAGGAGAAAATGGTCGAACATTGACTAGTGCTACACATACCTTTTTCTGTAATCTTGAATTCAGTTGAATGGTGTCTTGGGGCTTCAGAAATTATTTGAACTCAACTGAACAGCATAACTATCTAACTATAGTCAGTGTGACTTTTTTTCTTTAAAATTTCCCTGTTTTTTGTACCAGTACATATTTAAGATTTTTTTAGCCTCAGATGGTTAAAAACACAAAAAAAAATCCAAAATGGTTCAATTTCCATGACCAACAATATTTAGCTATGAGGAATGGAAGAAGAAGTACAAGATTGATGAAAGAGTATCCGATGATGAAGCTGAAAATGAGCAAAGGAATTACAGGAAGAAAGGTAGCCATGGTAAGACTACTTTATTTACAAAGGCTTATTTTAGCAAAGGTTACACAAAGGTCCATAATATTGCAGTGAACAAACCAATTAACTATTGTTATCTTTATGCCAAAGTATTAATCAAAAGCAAAATACATTGTACTAATCATAACAGTCACTAAATGTATTTTAAATGCAATTTTTAAAAATGAACATGTGGTATAAGAGCAGGAGCTTTGCTGTTGCTTCGTGCACAATTTGCTACAATCCATTAATTTGAAAGTCCATGGTAATACTCAATTTCAAAGTGTTACTCCATTTCAGCAGTTCAACATTTTTTGTTAAAAATTTTATGTCTGTTTAACTTTCTTTGCATTCAGTTCAGTTGTTATCATTCTGAATTTATAAATTGCATTTTTAAACTTCTGGGTGGAAATAATATCTGAAAAAAATAGAAATGCTAAATCAAGTTTGAATGCTAGAGTGTTCCAAACTCTAGAAGTGGGGGCCTAGAGATACTTGAGAAGGTGCATAAACTACTAATGCGTGGAGTGGAATAGACTTGCCAAAAAAAGACAGTAGAGGCAAATACTGTTAAAATTTGATACGCAATTAGAATTTGATGACATGAGTGATCAGAGAGACCTCTTGAACCAACCAGATATATTACTTAATCTCTGATTTGTTCTGTTCTATTCCTATAACTACAGAAATAAACAAAATGTTTGGGAAGGACAGGTGGAAAAAAAAAGTACATTTTAATTATACCTTTAATGGATTAAGTACATAATACATATATATGAAGTCTGCATTTCCAGCAATATTTTCATCATATTACGTATGAAATTTTTTCAGTAAATATATTTGGTAGCCCATCTCCCATTGCATTTCTCGTGGATAGGCTAGGTTCTATTGCAATGTTTACAATGTTGAGTTTTGGGTAGAGAAGGGCACATAACAGGGACAAATTAGAAGGAAAGTATACAGAAAAGAACAAGCAAAAGAACAGTAAGTGTTGAACAGAAAATTGCAGCAATCGGATTAGAATGAGGATGATGTGTAAGTAGAGGTAGCATGGTACTAAGAGTAGCACAATAGATGAGATTTGAGAAATGTAGCATTACAGATTTTGTAGGAAAGAGAATACAAAACTTTTATGTATTACAGGACCTTCAGGAATGCAAGGACTAGCCTTAAAGTGGTGACGTGATATAAAATGACATCTGTTCTGAATGTTTCTCCTTCGGAGCTTATTTCCAGTCAGGAATTTACAAGCAGAACAAAAATTAATTTTGTCAATGTGGCAGAGTCTGTTATACACCAATCTTTTTTGAGAAGGGAAATGCGGTTGGTGTGGTTTATGTGCATTTTCAAAAAACATGTTGTAAGCTACTTCATACAAATCTTTGACCAAAGAAAATGGCACAGAGAATTAAGAATATAGCTGTGTGAATCAAGAGATGATTGCAGGGCGGAAGGAGGTTAGTTAGACTGGAAAAATTTGTTCTGCTTGCATGTGTAGGAAAGCCCTGACATAAAATTGTTCTTTCCATGTACAAAAATAAATTAGATGTGACCAGGGCTAATACTGAAATTTGCTGATAACACAAAATTACAGGATTCTACAAATTATAACGTGATACAGGAGGTTGCAACCTAGCATGGATGAGGAGTTTCAGATATGAAGAGAGAAAAAAAATTCCCTGCAAGGAGTTGGGAGAGTCCTAGTAGAAGCTAAGGTTTTAAAGTATGTAAATATGACTAGTTACTCAGTTTGGGTACTTTTATTGTTTTGATGGCTGATGCAGTAATCTAAATCATCACAAACTTAAAATAGAAGTAGAAAAGTAAGTTTAAAATATAAAATTCTGGGTATTGCATAAATTATTTTTAATGCATTAAATAAGTTGTTGAAAAAAATACTGTATTGACGTGTATGGGTAGTAAGTCTAAGTGAATTTAGAGTTGGTGGCTCCTCCAGAAAAGTACCAGCAAAAACATAATAGGACAGATTGCCTGTTTCTATAATGTAACCTCCTGATTGTATCTTGATTAAGAAATGATACATACAACATTACAGGTGGACGAGGAAACTCTCGTTACTTCCAAAGAAAACAAGGGCAACAGCACGGAGCGCGTTCAGAGTTGAAGACCAAAGCTGAAATCCTTAAAAATAGAAAGAAAAAAGAAAAACTGCAGTTCCTACAACGGGGAGGGATGAAGAAACTGAAGCTTAAGAATCGCCAACGTGTAAGAGAAATGAAGAGCATGGCCTTTGGTAGAGGCAAGGGGAAAATGCGGAAAAAAATGTAATTCATAATGCCAAATAGTCACCTACAGCATTGGACTATACAGTGACGTGCTGCAGGCTAACGTCACTTAAAGATACTTTTCATTTGTTGTTACTTATGCAGACTATTGAATGAATATTTATTCAGGAGGAAAGGGGAGGTAACAGTGCCTTGAACATATTGACTTTTGTTGGATTGTATGTGCTAGAACATTAAGGTTCATTTGTAATTGTAATTAAACTTGTTTTGTACAATAGTGTCTTGAAGATCACTGTCATCACTGAAATATTCCAGATAAAAACCATATGCTAAAGACCGAGGAAATTAATTTTAAAAAAAACCTAGTTCAGCATAATATTTTAAATCTATTTGTAAAATTTATACCTTCTGTCAATACTATATAATCCTTTGAATGAGGAGTGAATTTATTTTAAACATTTCATCATTAAAATTAAAATGGTCTCATTTAGATAATGAGCATTCTAAATACTATCATAAACCACACTGTGAAAAATAAATTTCTGCTGTGTATTGCACAAATGTTTCATTAAAATTTTGTAGCAGTACAAAACTGTAATTAATTTGAAGTTTCCTGGCACAGTTATGAGCATTGAGAACAGTATAATATGAAGAACTGCTGTGGGTGGAATAATTTACTATGAACAGTATCCAATTATATAATTAACAGTGCAATAACATGTCGTTGAGAGGTAACTAATGCAGTATGGTACAAGTAAATTAGTTACCATCCAAAAAGTCTAGTCATTCAATCTGATTCTTGCATATGTTTATCAACTTTCAATGTAAATATGTGACTTTTTTCTTGTATGAGTGATTATTAATTTTCCAAAGAGTAGATTATCTAAATACTTATTCTCTTCCTGAACTAAATTAGCTTTGGGGCTTTTTTGTGATTTCGAGTCATGATGTCCCTAGGGTGACATTTCAAAGTTATAGATTTTGTAAATTGAATTTTCTTTTAAATTAGTTGGAAGTTAGTTTTAAATCTCTTCTCTACAGTTACCAGAAATTTAGCAAACTCCTTGAAGTACTAATACATGTTTTAGTATTCAGCAAGTTCTCGATGGTATGGATGAGTTTACATGAGCCATTAAAGCCAATGTCTATTTAAAGGTATCATTCTGGCAAATGGTATTAAATTCCATAGGTGAACTGTTGCATTTATATACCATTTATTACTCCTTTGTTAAAAGTGGCCACTGTTGTGCAGGCAATTATAGCTGCAAATTGAAGCGATAGGTAAATTTGATGATTGAGATCCTTTTAAGTAAAAGGAAGTTAAAATGTAAAATTCAGTATTGCAATCTTTTACATCAATCTGACCAGGCAGTTAAGGTTTTTATTTACTTCTTCAATCAAACACTGGCACCTTGCGGCGATGTAGTGCTTCCACTGCTTCATCAGCCTTATTTTTATTTTGTACCTTTTTTTTGTTATTGAAGCTTCAACCCATAATGTTTAACTGAAATGATGCTGATAGTTATATATGTGAATAACATTTTACTTAAATTCAGTGCTTAGATTTAACTGGGATTCAGATAACTTTTCCCACCTAATCTCTGCATCCAGTAATATGAAAATCAGGTATGCGACACGTTTGGATTAATGGAGGAAAGGGAGAGGAGTTGAGGAGGGAGCTCTAGTTGACAAGGCCCCATAGGTCTGATGGTACAACCTTGAAGGGCAGAGCAATCAAAATTGGGATGCTGAAAAGGCCAGAATTGGAGGAATGCAGATATTATTATGTACTGCTTATGTAACATAATTTGATCTTGGTTGGGTAATTTGCAATTTGGATGGTAGTTTACTGTTCTGCACTTGCAGTAGTCAGCTGAAAAGAAATCTAAGTGGATAGAGCAGACAGCTTGAGTCAAATTATCACTTGTTTTTACAATGTGCACCTCCTATTAGTACGTTGAAAGACTGTCCCCTTTATTTTTAGAAATAGGTTGAAAAGTCTCAAGTTTTTAAGATCAAGACCATGTTTGGTGGATAATGTGAGTAAGAATGGGTACATTTGTGCTTTGGTTATATTGCTGCATTCTTTATCTAGAGGGCTGGACTAATTCAATTTTAGTTTTTCTAAGATCGATTGACGATGTTAACCCAACTGCTTCACATTTTTTCAGAAGGGAACTTGGCATCCTTGTATGGTCAGGGTTGTAGAAGTGGGGCTTATGTCAAATGCAGTTGATTCTTCATTGGCCTCTAATTGCTGTCACGGTGATATTTAGAACAATTAAAATGAACACCGTGCATGAAAATCTTTACTGACAGTTTAGTTCAGTTCTCCTGTTCAGTGTAATAACTCACTTGTGATGAATCTAAATTTTTTTTGTGTCAGTTCAAGCTAAGGTATGTGGAAAGGCTTCCGCATAATGTTTTCCTGTATTTGGAATGTTGCAAACTGCTTCATAGACATGAATTCATTTATCGTAGGTGAGCTATTAGAGAACATGGCAAAATAAAAAAAAATAATTTTCAAACAACTGAAATTTTACTTGCACAAAGTAAAATTACACACCATGCCACTATTTAGAAATAAAATTTTAAAATTATACAGTACAAAGGATTCAGTTTATTTATGAAGAATTCAGTTTATTTCCAAATAATCAATCCCATATTACAATACTGAAATTGGTTTCTTTATTAAATATATACAACTTTATTTTTGTGGCTTTTTAAAATTGAATTCTTAGGCAGTCTGTGTGATGCTTTTAACTTTTACATCCATTATCTTTGCATAATATTAACCCAGCAGTATTAATGCCCTATGCAGTGTTCAAAGTAGTTTCAGTAAAGTAACACAAAGAAATGCAGACGCTGAAGATCTGAAACAAACAAAACCAAATTGTTGGAGAAACTTAGCAGTTCTGGCCGCGTCAGTGGAGAGAAAACTGAGTTAACATTGAGTCCAGTGATCCTGTTCTGCATGTTCTGAAGAAAGATTACAGGACTCCAAATGTTAACCCTGTTTTGTCTCCACAGATGCTGCCAGATCTGCCAAGTTTCTCTAACAATTTCAGTTTTAATTACAGTAAAATCCTGCTGTTTGCAGAGGTTACATTCCTCAAATGGTATATTTTGCCAATAGCGAACATGACACTGTGCAGTATGCATTGTCTACTGCAGGATGTAAGTTTTGTTTTAATTATTTTTCTTTCACTTAATGGATTAGCAAAAATTGGACTTGCAGTGGGTGAAAAAATGTAGAATAAGTTTTGCTCAGGTAAGCAAACTGAAAAATGGCAAATACTCAACAGTAAGATTTTACTGTACCTGGAATGTTAACAGGTGATAACATTTATTAAAAGTAAACAAACTGCATATTAAATTCACAGAACAAATGACTTTAAAAACTATGTAACATAATGACCCAGATTTTGCCATTAGTGATGAAGCAGTTGTGCTTAACATTGACCTTGAAGGAAGCTATCCTTAAAAGTCTAGTAATTTTGTGGAATTGATTTTGCCCTTCTTGATGTTAATTTTGAGCTGTTGTATCTAGAAATAGTGATTGTAAAGTAAGGTAAACAGCCAATCATATTGAAGAAATCTCTCAGACTGCAAATCAGGTAGTAAAATAGCAATGTTTAGTGACTTCTAACTAATTGCAGCCTGTAAGAAGTTGAACAGCTTCGCTTATGATGAAGCACAATAACTTACAGATTTCCTGTTTAAACTGCATATACGCAGACTCCTGAAATTGCTGGCAGTTTCAGGGAAGTAATGACAATGAACAATTGATTTCATTATAATTACTATTGCAAAATCCAGGCCATTTTGACAACAACAAAATAAGGTCCATAAATTTAAGAGTAGCTATTTTGGGTCATTGAAAAAAGGCAAAGTACAATCACTGTCAGAATGGAGAGGTTCCTGTTGCCCTCAGCCTTGGATCTTATTAACATGAAGCCATGCTGGGTCTAGCAAGATTATCCTGCTGCAGCTTGAATAAGTAAATGCCTCATTGGTGAAAAGATCAGACTTTGCAAGGGACATCAAATCCAAACTGGCATGACAATGATGAGCATGTGGATTTCCTTGGGGTGGCAGTTTGATGACCTGGGAGATGCACTTTTGTTCCTCCCAGCTTCACATTCAGGTAAACGTGGAACTCTTTGCCTGTTAGCTCCATGTTGTGTTGTGCCAATTTTACAAATCCCAAGTGAAACACTGGTGCATTTGGAAATTTGAAATAGACCTGTAGAAGCATAGGACTCTAACTCATTGAATTCTAGACCCAGACTTTCTACTTGGAAATGAGAGAAGGAATACTTTTTCATACACATTTTACATTTATACATTTGAATTCCAGGACCAGATAAACATTAATCAATGATACAAATTTGGACGAGCTGGGTAACCCAGGTAATCCCTAGTTCTATCACTGGTTATTGTTTAAACTAATTGTCATACTGCATAAATGTCAGTTTTCAAATTGAGTAGATTGCAATTAATACAAACAATTATATACAAAACATAGAAAGTCAACCATTTTCTTTACAATTTTTATAGAAGGTTCCAACATCAAGAATATGTACAAAAACAAAATATTGCAGTTGCTGTTAAAATGAAAAAAAATTGTGCTGGAAATACTTAGCAGGTCTGGCAGAATCGGTACAGAGGGATGAATTAACATTTGAGGTCAATGACCTTTCTTCAGAACTTGAATTTGTGCTGTGTTCGAGTTCTGATGAAAAAGCATTGACTTGAAATTTTAATTATATTTTTCTCCTTCTACAAATGCTGCCTGATTTGCTGAGTATTTCTAGTATTTTCTGTTGTTATATCAAGAATGTGTAACTTGTTTAAGAGGACCAATTAAAAGCAAGCCAGATGAACTGAACTACTTTGCCTTCTTTAAAGCTGTTGTCAGGTAGCTTCCCCGTGCTCCCTTACCGTGATCCATTACCATGTGCTTAACTGGCAGATACACTCTTATGGAAAAACTGCAGCCTAAGTGTATTTGTATCCAACCAATTAATGATACAGTATGTGATGTTTAAGAGCTTACTGGATTCTTATTGAGCAGTCAAAGGAGCAATGCAAGTTGTTTTTAGTTGAGTGATACAAATGCAGAAGCCTTTTCTTTACAAACATGAATGACTCACTTGCAGAACCAGAAAATATCTTCCACTTTGGGTTTCAGGCTGATAGGAAATGAAACCTCAAACGGTCAATATTGAATGCTGGGCATTAGCAACAGGGCCATATTCTTAGTGGGATTCAAGGCATCAGTGTCAAATCCCCAATGTTGAGATCTAATATGTTTTTCTTTATCCACGTTTTCCAATGAGACCTAGCACATCTATTAACAGTGAATATGCTATTCCCTCTTCTGCAAACTGTTCAGGAGATTCCCCAAATGTAATTTTTGCACAGTTAGCACAGGTAGTGGATCTTCTGTAGATTTGAATTTCAGAAGTACTTCAGCAATGGTTTGACTTGTACCTATATGCCATATATATACATATGCATACATTTATTATCACAATAGACAAGTGTAAAACTTCTCATTAATTAATTCTGTAGTACTTCTATACTAAGCAATATAACCATAAAATGTTACATTCCTCCATTATGTTATTACAACTGAAGGTGAGCTAACTAATCTCTAAACTTTTCTTCAGATCGTTTACAATATCACGCAATTCGAGGATGTTTTGTTGAACCTGCAAGAGAATAAATGTCTTCCAGTCATTTGAAAATGATCTTAATTGTCAATTCAAAATATGACATATGATCAAATCCACATGTAATTAAACTTCTGTGTCTCAAATCTACACATTAGAACTAGATTATTACTCCATCACTATCTCTACCTCTACTTATATACCTGACAAACGTGTGTTCTAGCATAGCACACTAGTTAATGAGTGGGAATCCTGGCTGACTATTAACTGCAAAGATAGTAGATGTCTTTTAAAAAACTGATCTAAACAGACTTTTTTGCACTATTGAAAAAAAAAATCAACTTGGCCCTGCTGTTCCTTCTGCTCTTTTTGGGGAAAGAATGTTTCTTCTGATTTGTCTGTTTCAAACATGAAAGTCGCAGCATTTCTCAACTAATCAGTAAGCAGTTCTTGTTTAGGAAATTTTTAAAAGGGTGAAACAGGGTGACTAAAATTGGGCAGCCAGTGCAACTGAAACAGCAGGAGAGAGTAGAGAAGTGCTGCAGTAGTTCAGGCTAAGTGAAAAATCTGCAGCTCTATGCAAAAGAATTTGTTTTTTTTAAAACAAAACTGTGGTTAACATTCTTTGCAAAGTGGGATTTACACAATAGTTGTAACATGGATCCAGTCCCACAGGTCCAAAAAATTACACATCCCTGCTCAGAACTTAACCACTGTGTCAACTCCTAGGTGATCTCTAATTGTCACATGTATTCCTGAACCACCCAATGCACATTTACTATGCTGAACCCTTCAATTTCTGATGATTTAAATTGGTTCTTTGCATCTAAATGGAGTGACCTTAAATTACCACAGATACCCCTCGGTAAGGAATGGAAAGGGGGAGAAAAAACAATGTCAATATCTATCGGTCACTGGGCAAAATCATAATACTGGATTTTTTTAATATGTTATTTAAGTATGTTTTTGTTCTCTTCCATTCCTTTCTCCCCACTTTTTGTAATGGTAGGATCTCAAAACATGTAATTTTATCCTTCTCACACTTTTTATGTAGAGTTATATTAAATCTGATGGAAAATGACATTACTGTAACAGCTAAAGTATAATTTGGTAGCCTGATGTTTGAGTCTGACCAACAAACAATTATGTACAGCAGGCCATTTGTTCCAGTATTGAGATAAATGGATACATATTTGGTTATTGTTCAATCAGCCAAATAATTTTTATGCTCAAGAAGAAAGCATTTACTTAAATTCTGAAAATCATTTTAAATTTACAATGAGTGATTTTATTTTTAAAACTCATAGTATAATTCCCAAAATATAATTTTTTTTGTTTGTAGTTACAACTATAGGAGTTTACATTCTGTAAGGATTCTTCAAAAAGGTTACTTTCACGGCCCCCAAATGCACATCCAGATGAACTTCAACTCCGATCTTAGAGGCAAAAAAAGCCTGCCTGTGTCTCAAATCAGTTTTAAGGTGTTGGAGGTGCCCTTGAGGTCTCCTACCTGCCTCAGCAGTGTCCACCTGTTTTCATGGATCTGCCAGTGCTGTATAAGTATAAACCCTCTGGTTGGGCCAGCAACATCAAGAGTCTGCCAAGTGTTGAGATGGTCCATTTGGAAGCTGCGTCCTTCCCACACTGCTCCACTGGTTTGACTCCTAACAAGCGTGGGCTCAGTAACCCCACTTGGTCACAACTGACTTGAACCCAGGCCTCTTGGGTGAGAAATAGGGACACTACCACTGTGCCACAGGATCATGTCATAAAGTGTCTATTTTTTCCCCTTTCTAGTTATTTTAATTAATCTCTTTGGGTGTGTTTTAAAACAACACCAGGGCAGGTGAGACTTGAACTTGGACCCTCTGACCCAGAAGTAGGACACTACCATTGCACCACAAAATCTTCATTGTTAAGTGTCTACTTGGTTGGCCCCGAGGAGTAAATATAACCTGTTGAGAGACAGAATACTCTGAAACGAAGGATGTTGATTGACTTAACCAAGATACCACAGTATTGACAACAAGGACAGAATTCTACAAAAGCATAAGTCAGTGTCACATGCAAGAGGGCAAACAAAAACTGGGAGAGAAAAATAGAATAGTTTTGTCTCTCAAAACATTATGGAGAAAAGTCTGAAATTGAATAGATAAATACAATGTGTGTGTGAACTTACCACCTGAAGCTGAATATCTGTGTCCTCTGCTAAAGTGCCAAGTTTCATTTCTGCTTTTCTTACATACATATAAAGGTTAAAAATTGCCATTTTTATCATACCCAAGACAAGAGTTCTTCTGGCTGCTGTGTTTTGAATATGTGCCCATACAGATTCCTGTAAAATTAGACAATACAATTACAGAATTATTTTTTTAAAAAATCACTGTGTGGGTTAATTATGATCCCAAGAAAAAGTTATTGGTTATTTAAAATTTTATTCTGGCTGAATACCTTTGAAATAATATTGATCCAAATTGTGCAGTAATCTGCAAATAAACATTCCTCACCATTCATTATTCTCACATTTACCCACAGATAGTATGTGAGCTTTCACACCTGGAGTACTGTGTCAAAATTTCATCTTACCTAAAAAAAAGATATACTTGCCATCGAAGAAGTGGAGCAAAGGTTCACTGGACCAGTTCCTGGGATGGTAAGTTTTAAAGCTGAGGAGAGACTGGATCAACTGGGCCCATTCTCACTGGTCATCTCATTAAAATGTAAAAAAAACTCTGAGGAGGGCCGGATAGTCTGGGTGCAGGGATAATGTTTGCCTAGGTCAGGGGTTGGGGTATAGAGGTCCAGAACAATGGATCACAGTTTCCAGATACATGATGTGCCATTTTGGACTAAGATGACGAGAAATTTCTTCATGCAGAGTATGGTGAACCTGTTGAATTCTCTGCAACAGAAAGCTGTGGAGAGCAGGTCACTGAATATATTCAAGAAACAGATAGATTTATATGGACTAAAGGTGTCAAAAGAGTCTGGTGTTGAGATACAGGATCAGACACGATCATGCTGAATGGCACAGCCAGTCTGATGGTCTGAATGGTTTACTCCTACTGCTATTTTCTATGATGCCATGCTAATTAGAATTAAAACAATGCAATCTCTTCTACAAGAGACTGAAGATCTGCATGCACCTGTCTTGCTTTAGCTAATCAGGTTTTTGAAATCTTATTGAGCCAAGTTGTCTAAACCAGAGAATGTCTATTAGAAAACTGAATCATGTTTAAAATGCTGAGATCTGGGGAATTGGCTCTTGCCAGCTAGAAAATACCTACCCCTTTTATTGTTTTAGCTTTGGCTGCTTCTAATTGATGTGTTAATGCAGCGAGGGCGTTGTGATACATCATAATTTCATTCTCCTTTTCCTTCATGATGTTATTATGATTCGATTTAAGTGTCTTAATGATTTCTTGATCTTCCTGGTACTTTGTAATTAGAAGATTATGTGTAATAAACAAAGTTTCAAAACGAATGTTCACCATTCTTATATCCTGAAACTTAAATAGGAACACATATAATCAGAAACAATTGGTTCAGTTACAAACAGTTTGAGAAAAATTAATGAAAAGTTGTATCGATCTTAAAAAGGGGCCTGTACTAACTTCTCACCATCACAAAGGTGGCTTATTTCTATTTCTGTAAAATTACATCTTTGTGTTCCCACTTTTGTGGCTGAAAGGCCATTTCCACAATTGTTTACAGGGAGTGCCTGATTTACAAACGTCCAACTTAACAAACTCTCATACTTATGAAAGTGATCCCATAAAAGGGTTTAATTTTAAAGACCCAACATATTTTCCTGTCCTTACAAACAGCTGCTTCGATTGTCCTGCATTGTGTTCTGACTTGCGTATAAATTAATTTTGAATGGACTCCAGAATAGAATCTGTTAGCATGGGTTGGAATCCTTTTTTTTGTTCATTTGTAGGATGTGAGTGTTGCTGGCTGGCCAGCAATTTTTGCCCATCCCTAGTCGCCCTTGAGAAGGTGGTCGTGAGCTGCCTTCTTGAACCGCTGCAGTCCTCCTGCTGTGGGTTGATCCACACTGCTATTAGGGGGGGAATTCCAGGATTTTGACCTAGCAACAGTAAAGGAATGGCGATATATTTCCAAGTCAGGATGGTGAGTGACTTGGAGGGGAACTTGGAAGTGGTGGTGTTCCCATATATCTGATGGTTGGGCCTAGGAAACTACCCTGTGGAACTCCTGCAGACATGTCCTGGAGCTGAGATGATTGACCTCCCACAATCACGACCATCTTCCTATGTGTCAGGTATGACTCCAACCACCGGAGCGTTTAACCCCCGATACCCATTGATTCCAGTTTTGCTAGGGCTCCTTGATGCCACACTTGTTCGAATGCAGCCTTGATATCAAGGGCTGTCATTCTCAACTCACCTCTGGAATTCAGCTCCTTTGTCCATATTTGAACCTACTCCCAAAAACTACTTGATATATGATTATTTTTGCCTCTGTCAAGCATTTTGGGATGTTTTAATTCATTAGATGTACTAAAAAAAAGTGCAAGTTATTGTCATATATATTAGGTTCCTTGTCAACATAGTTTACTTGTACCATATATGCATTTACATAAACAAAGTTTAAACAATATATGCTTTTCACAATTACCTCATTTGACATTTTGATTACTTTCTTCAAGAATTTTGGATAAACAGCATATGACTCCACTTTCTTTTTGAGTCTATTCCTCTTAATGATAAAGTCATTTAGTTCATTATTTAATAGAATAATATCCTTCTCTTTTTGCTTTATTAGATCAGTTTCAATACTTATTTTACTCTTTGCTCTGCTTTGCTTGGCATCATTTTCCTTTGGAGGAAGAAGAGAAAAATATAAGTACTACACAAATTACTACTACTAAAATAACTCCACAGAGGCTAGTATCCCATTACCAAGTCACCCTTTATTTACACTTGACACTAGTCCAGCTCCCTCAGACTGAGCAGAACCTTTGACACTCCTGTTTATATCTGTCAGCCAGGGCTCCGTGATTGGGGCTGTTAATCTGGTCCAATCAGGGAACTCATATTCTATTAGGTCCACCTGGCTGACCTTGTTACAATCACTGCATTTATTTTGAATAGCTCATCTTTTCCTGCAAACTCTTTAAATTGCATCTCTAATTCAGATCTAATGAATAGTCCAGGATTGGAACTGACCAAAGCTCTAAATACTCAGAGGCAGCAAGCAGATCCGCTACTAAAAATATCCAAACCACCCACAAAAATCCACTGACAGAGACCACAATATAAGAAAAGACACCCCTTTATATTGAATTGGAGGATACGCAAGGAGCACTCCTCCAATCACAGGCTGGTTCTGTCTCTCGCTTGCTCCTGATAGGTTCAATGAACCTATCAGCAACAAACCTGGGTGAGAACCAGCCTGTGATTGGAGGAGCAGTGAGCTGTTAGGCATGTCAATGCTTGCTTTGAGGAGTCACTGGGGAAGGCACCCCTGGGAGCCAATGGCCAAGGTCCAGGGGGTGAGCAAGCTGGGGCTGGGACTGGGGCTTTGGGTGAGGGCTGGGTCCAGGAATAGGGGAGCTGCCTTTGGCATGCAAGGCATGTCGCCAGAATTGTAGGGTTGCTGGGGTGGGGGGGCGGGGGCAGTGTGCTGGGGTAGAGAGCTGTGGAAGGATATCTGAGGTGAAAGAGGCTACAAGAGTCTTGGGGCAGGGAGAAGGATGCTGCAAGTGGGGTTGAGGGGTAGAAGGTGGCTGCATTGGAGGGTTAGCGATGGTGGGTGAAGAGTGAGTTTGCGGGTAATGGCTCCTAGATTAATGGGGTTGATAATTGAGGATATCAATGAAGTATTCCAATTCTGTACATGTGTAATGTCAACACAAATACAGAAGTTAATTTTATTATGTGACAGCTTCAACTAATTAGTTAATTAACTAGTTACTACGGATGAAGAAGTAGCCCCCAAAAACCAAAAGGTAGCCTTTGAGAAAATCTCAAGAGGATCCACTGAGAAAGAAAAATAATTTTGACTCCTGGTCTTAGCCTTTGCTTGAATCATTTCTACATTATTCCTTCAATTAAAATGAGAAAATAAGTTTTTTAAAATCCCTTTGATGGTCTAACTGCATGTTCCCAGACACTGTTTTATCGGAGCAACATATCCCTTGCAAAATGAAAGTAGACACATGAAAATTAAGTTCGCCACATTCACAAATGCAGTCAGACCCTTGACTCAGAAATGTCTCATGTAAGTCTCACCAAAAACACATATTGCATAGTCTTTGAAACTCAAATCTTTTGTCATAGAGCTTGGGAGGCCCTTTATGACAGACTAACCTTCCTTTGTTCATCACAGGTTACTGAGTTGCCCTTAAATGCATCTATGTTCTACACCTCAAGGACTCTGGAAAGTAGCAAATTCCACATTCTAACCACAGTCTGAATGAAATTTGAGGGTTTTTTTGAATGATTTTATTAGTGATGCTTTTTGTTTTGGATTGTTCAGAAAGTGGAAAGGTATGCTGCATCCACACATATCAACCCTCTTCATAATTATGAAGACATCTGTAATGTTATTCTCAAACTTCACTTCTCTAGAGGTACAAGAGATGGATTGTTCAGTTCTTCCTGACAGTTATAGTCTCTTGGTTCTGGTCAATATTATTATAGTTTGCACCTATACCTGTGGTTGTATATCCTTTTTGAAATAGATAGACCAAAACTGTGCAAAGTTTTCAAGCCATCTCCGTGTTGATCCATACAGTTTGATTTTTTTTAATGGCTTTAACTTGTGTTGCTGATTTTAATGATTTGTTTATCGGTATCGCTGGATCTCTTTATTTTCATTGATTATGTTGCCTCCCATTTCTCTTTCCAAAATGTACCATCTCACATTTATTTCTATGTAAGTTAATTTTCTAACTGCACACTGAGTCTGTAAAATTTAATATTTTTTGCATCTGACACAGTCTTTCTTGGTACTAAGAATATCTCCAAATTTGACATTACCAGCACATTTTGGAAGTTGTATTTCTGAATTCCTGTTTCCTATTTCAATAAATATTTGAAAAGAGTCAGCCTATTAGTCAATCCGAATGGAACACTCCTTTCTACTTCCTACCAGTCTGTGAAGCAATTTGATCACAGCTCTCTGTTTTCAGTTTTGTGGACAGTTTAACAAGGATATTGCTCCTCATCCTGGACTCCATATGATCTGACCATCATGAGGTCTACTCATATTGCTTCTTGGGAGAGGCTTTGAAAACCAAAAACATTACACTACCCTTATTTTATATGCTATTTCTTCAAAGAGTTGGACAAAGATAATTAAGCGTGATCTTCCCTTAATGTTTTCGGTTTGCAGGTGTTTTTCTATTACATCTTTGAGTTTAAACTCCAGTAACTTTTCTACCACCAATGGTGAGCCAACTAATCTATGGTTCCTGGACATGTGACATTTTCCTTTTTAAATACAAGAATAACATTAACTATCTGCCAGTCCTCCAAACCTTTTCATTTTCTAATGGAAGTTTTGTAAATACTTAATAGTGCATGTACGTCACCTCCCTTATTTCTTTTAACGTGCTTGTTTCGATAAGAAATTTTATCCTTCCTAATCCATAAAGTATCTCGCCTTTCTACCTTAAGTATTTTAAAATCTATTTTTCTAATATTGTATCCAGTTATCTCCCCAGTAAATGCAGAGGTAAAGTAATTATTCAATATTTATGCCATTTCACTGTTTCTATTTTTGAAATTAGCCTTTTCATCCCATGTAACACTCTCCTTCCTGATCTAGTAATTTCTCTGCCAATCACCAAACGGCTGAAGCAGTAATCCAGAGATTACCATCCATGGGAACCTACTTTGCTATTTTGTACCTGCTCATATTCCTTTACTAGTGCTTCCTTAGATCATAGAATCCCTATGATCTAATATGCCCACACCAAACCCTCAGAGCATCCCACCCAGACTCATCCCCCTAACCTACACATCCCTGAACACTATGGGCAATTTAGCATGGTCAATCCACCTAGCCAGCACATCTTTGGACTGTGGGAGGAGATCAGAGCACCCAGAGGAAACCCACGTAGACACGGAGAGAATGTGCAAACTCCACACAGACAGTCACCCAAGGGTGGAAGTGAACCTGGGTTCCTGGCCCTTTGAGGCAGCAGTGCTAATCAATGAGCCACTGTGCCGCTCCTTCTTGTTCGTTTCTGTGTCATTGGTCCTAACAATGGACACATGATAACTGAATCACCCACAACCATTCCTTTCTCCCCACTTCTTTTCCAAGCTTTTCCCAGTTGGTGTGAGACACCCTGTACCATTGCTCCAAGTGGACATTAAAACCTTTTGAATTCCGAAGTGTGACTGCAGAAGATGCCACTCGGCCTTATAAATATCAAATCCCCTCTGCCTACAATCTTTCTACCTGCCACTCCCTCTCTTTAGACAGTTTCGTGCATCTTGGTGTTATGGTTAGCATTCATGCCATCAACTTTGCAGCCTTTATCCTTATCCCCAGAAGTACAGAGTACATTGTAGCTGGTGGGTAGGACTAGTGACTGCGCGGCCTCCTCTTCAATATCCCGTTGACTGCAACACATACAGAATGAAATGCTGCTACTTTAAATACCACATAATTTCTAATTGATTTATCTAAATACTGGGCTCTATTATTCTTGGAGCAGGCCAGTCCCTTAAACAACACAGCTGAAGAGTTAAGCCTGAATAAGTAAGAAGAGTTACAGAATAAGAACTAGTATTCAATACATGGACATTTTTCCATTTGACTTTCAGAATCAGCCAACAGGCTAGTCTATGCTTCATGTTTACCCTCAAGAACTTATCAAATTTTGCAAATGATTTTTTCAGTTCTTCTTCCTTTTTGTTTAATTCCTCTCTTCTCTGCTTGATCAGTTTCATTTTCACCTTGAACTCCTGCCAAGAGAAATATTATCTTAAAAAAATGCAGAAGTTTCTTACAGATCATCAGATGTTACTGAAAGCTGTGACTAGTTAAGTTCCGATTACTTCAGTAATTACAAATTTCGCTTTTAATCAAACTATGTACTGCCCTTTCTATGAGCTATATTCAAATTACAGTGCAAGTGCATGGTGCTAGTAATTCACTCAACAGTTGGTACAAAGTGTGTTCACTGACATTCTCACTTCAATTTTCCCTCCCACCTATGGGTAATTGCTTGCCTTCAGCTAAGCCTTTATCTATGACCATAGGGTTCAAATTGGCATCTCACTGGGGAAACGCATCACACGTGGTCATTGGTAATCATTCCACCTAGGCACCATGAGTTGATACAGCAAATCCAGGTACGATAGCCTGACCAAAACAGGATCTATAAAATTTATGATTACAAATGAAAGAAAGCCTAATCTTTAAAGAATATTGAAGTGGGGGAAATATTTGAAGTGTGTAGCAGTTAGTCACTGAAATTACAATAACAACTACTTTTATCTATATAACAAGTTTAAGGTAGGAAAATATTACTTCACAGGAGAATGATCAGGCAAATAAGCCAAGGATGGAGGCCATCAGGAGGATTACTGAATAGCTTGGTTATAGAGACAGCTTTGAGGATATATATTAAGGGAAGAAAAGTGTATAGTGAGGCAATCACGTACTGAGATGTGAAAAGCATAAAAATCAAAGAAATTTTGGTATTCCTATATTGAAAATTATTTTGGACCATAATTAGAATACATATCTATCTCAGTCTATGTTGATGAGTCTTTATTTGTCAAATTTTCTAACTTGGTGATACTCTTGCTTCTGCACATGAAAAAGATGTGGCTTCCTCAATCCAAGAACTATACTTATTATCTAAGCTTCACTCTAGGACCATAGCAAAGAATTACACAATATTACAGCTGCTGTCCTTTTTAGTGAAGCAATAAATTAACTACATGGCTACTGCAATATTGCTATAGTTCAAGCAGATGTAAAAGAAGAGTAGGGAGTTCTACAAGATTTACAGTTCAATATTTCTCTCTCAACCAACACTACTAAAACAAAAGAAAAATACACAAGTGATCTAAGGACCTTCAGTCACGTCTGTTAAGAAAGGATGATTTTGGAAAAAGGGAGAAAAATGTTTAAACTTTAAAAACAGAAATATGTGATTTGAGCCATATTGTTAGAATCACATTACATTTTGTGCAATCAACATTGCAAAGTCTTCCTCATTAACATCTGGGCACTTGGACAAACAGTGACAGACTTGTCCCACAAGCTACACTCTGACAATGTCATGCTCACCGAATTAATTAATTGGGTTGCAGTGGTTCAAGAAGGTGAATCACTATTACCATCTCAAGGAGAATCAGGGATGGCTGATAAATATTGGCCTTGTTAGTAATGCTCACATCACAAGAACAATTGTTTTCAAAAGTCCAATAATTACATTTCCTTTCCTACAGATCCTTTCCTCCACAAATGTTATTCTGCCCCTTAAGTTTGCCATTTAACTTCAAGACAATTGCTTCTGTTCTGTTCAATGCTTCTTTGCACCAGTTTCAGTTGTTTTCTTGATATTTCTATGAATCTACAACTATAATCCTGGAAATGTATTCTTGTCTAAATTATGTTAATTTAACTCCAATTTCTAAACACTAGTCTCTTTAACTTCTGTTAAATGATGTTGATTCTAGGTAAAACAAGAGAAATCGGTACCGTCCAAAAATGAATATGTAGCTTATCAGATATCAGCTTCACAATCTGCTGTTAGAAATCAAACTCATAATTTAATTCTAAGTGCTAAGGTTAATCATAAACTCTAAATGTTCAAAGGTTTAATTTCCAAATGGAGTAGATTGGCAGATAACCTCTAACAGTGAAAATGACATTGCAGCTAAGTGAAATATGCTGTATTAGAGTAGATTTCAGATCGCAAATATTGAGAAGTAACTACAAGTATTGAGCAGCATTTACTAATTTGTAAAGGAATTCAATATAAAGAAAGGCAGTTATTTTGGGGTTAAAATTGAAGTGAAAGGAGATTTTTAATATCATGTCTCTGTATATTCTTTTTAGATTCTAAATACTGGTTTAGACTTTGTTTTGTCAGTTTCTTTTACCTCCTTTTGAGCAGCAAGAGCTGCTTCCACCTCTGCTAGTTCTCGTCTTTTGTCCAGTAACACCATGGTACTGTTTAAGGGGATCTTGTCTTGGATCGACATTTGGCTTTGATAAAACAAGAGAAATAACAACTCAGTTCATATATATCACTACTCTTCCCATCCTCAGCTTCACTTTACAGAATTATACACAACATGGAGAAATTTCAAAGTAATCAATAGAACATTTGATTTATTTTGCTATATTAAACCATCACCCTTCAGATATGCTGTTTACTTGACTACTTGCAACAAGAATATGGAAATGGTACCATAGTTTCCATAAATGACAGAGGCAGCACACAATTATTTTCAAATTTAGCCAATCTCATATTCATGGAGGCACAATCACACACCTGTCAAACCACTTCTTTGCATTCAATTTATTTAATAAGATAGAAATATTCTCACCAGTCTGTCAAAGACTTGTTCATCCCCTTTCTTAAACTTTTGGCCTAAAATTCACTTGTTTCCTGGCGTGACAGTTTCTATGACTATCTCGGAGATTCCTACGCATTTGCTCTCTCCTGAATCCTGACTTGGTTACAGAGTCACTGCAGTACCAAGGTCACCAATTTGGTCCATTGTGGCCTTGCTGACTCTCTGTAGAGCAATCTTGTTGGTTCCAGTCGTTTATTCTGACCCAGTGGCCCTGCAAATTAATTTCTCTCAAGTACCTATATAATTTCCTTTTGAAATCACTGATCACCACCATCATAGGCAGTGAGTTCCAAGTCATTACCACCCACAGGTAAATTTCACCTTCTCATCCTCACTTATCTTTTGCCCACAACCTTAAATCTGTGTTCCCTTATCCTTATACCATTAGCTAATAGGATCAGCTTTTCTTTGTCTACCTTATTGCAAACTTGCATGACCTTGTACACCTCTATCAAATCTACCTTCAACTTCCTTTGCGTTTAGGATACCTATTGTATTATTCTGCAACTTTACGACTTAGAATAGAATAGAATCTCTACTAGAGTGGAAGCTGGCTGTTCGGCCCATCAAGTACACACTGAGCCTCCAAACAGCATCCCACCCAGACCCACCCCGCTATCCTATCCCTGTAACCCTGCATTTTCCATGGTTAACCCACCTAGCTTGCACATTCCTGGACGCTATGGGCAATTTAGCATGGCCAATCCATCTAACCTGCACATCTTTGGACTGTGGGAGGAAACCAGAGCACCCAGAGAAAGCCCATGCAGACATGGGGAGAACGTGCAAACTCCACACAGACAGTCCCTGGTGCTTTAAGGCAGCAGTGCTAACCACTGAGCCACCATGCCATCCCATGAATAAGCCAGTGAATAAATGTCCTGCATTTAATATGTATAGTAAATTCTTTATTGAAATTATCCTTTAATGAATAAGACTTGGGTTTCCATGCAGATTCATAAATATTGATATAATAATTCCAACAACCTTCTGAGGTAAATTGCAAACAGCACATTTAAAAATAAGGACTGAGAATTTTATTTGAAAAGAATTAGAATGACACTACTACCACATAAACCTGCTCCACTCCTATCAAGCTACTAAAAAATCAACAAATTGGACAGTCAGAGGACTGGTGAGAATAGTTCTATCTGGCAATGGAGAGATAATTTGCATAGAATTAAATAAATACTGCCGTGGTTCTAGTAAAACCTTGCACTGGTCAAAGGCCTGTTGGATTTACAGAACTATCACAGATTCAGTTGTAAACAACATTGATATCTTTGAGAGTGCAGTAGCATTAATCACTGTTGTGAGCAGCCTGATTTTCTTACTTTTAGTCCATACATACTGTGTTCATTAGTACAACACTGAAATAATAGAGTAACCTGGGGATTTAACAATGCTATTCCAATACAATCAGGATCAGATATTCAGTCATTTTACACGTATGTTTCTTCAATCTCTCAAAAATCAGCCAGGGTTAATAACAGATGAGATGAAGTTTCATTCAAACCATGAGCTGCTATATTAAGGTGAAATGCACACAGCAATAAGAACTGTCACTTAGTCCGACCTATAGTTATGTACCAATACTAAATAAAGAACAGGCAATGCTATCCAAATCAGTGGGTAGTCAGATCATATTAAACAGAACAGCGCTCTGTATTCTGTCTGACAGTCCAAGGATTAAATCTTCTCTCTTTGAGGAATTTTTCTGCTTGATTGCCTGCATAAAATCCTGTTTCTCAAAACTACATTGCCTTTCTTGGTGTCCATCCTCTGCTTTGAAAAGCTTCTCATCTTCTTTCAAAAAGACTATCCTTATGGACTGACAGAAATTTGCAACTGCAATGGTAAGTCATTTTTAACCAAACCCGAAAAATAACTTAGAGCAGCCCTCAAAAGTCATGTGTAGATACAGCTTCCAAAAAAGCACACAAACCATCTTTTATACGGTTATGTCTATCAGCAGAAAATAGTTAAGAAAACCAGACGAAAACAGTTAAGAAAACTGAGGGTAGCATGGTGGCTCAGTGGTTAGTACTGCTGCCTCTCAGCGCTAGGGACCTGGGTTTGATTCCAACCTCGGGTGACTGTCTGTGTGGAGTTTGCACATTCTCCCTGTGTCTGCGTGGGTTTCCTCCCACTGTCCAAAAATGTGCAGGTTAGGTGGATCGGCCATGCTAAATTGCTTGTAGTGTTCAGGGATGCCTAGATTAGGTGGGTTATAGGGGGATGGGTCTTGGTGGAATGCTCTGAGGGTTGGTGTGGACTTGGGCTGAAGGGCCTGTTTCCACACTGTAGGGATTCTGTGATGATTCAGACATGTGCAACTACCTTAAATGTGTTCAAATACAGATATTTTCAAAATATTTGATGAGGTTATTTTAAGTTAATGTTTCAGAAGATGACATAGCTGTTCCTCATATTTGAGTTTTAATGTGATCTGAGTTAGTGTGATGTAAATCTCGTTTTTTGCTATCTGCATGGATTGCAAGTGAAATAATTTTGAGTATACTATCCCTGGTAGTAATAAATGCAGAGCCTCAGCACAAGTGCAAATAATTTGTAATAAATAGCAAACTCAAAAAGTTGATTATTGTGGGAATGAAAAGCTAACTACCTAGTCCAGGGTGTAATTGCGAGCCTGAGGTTAAGACAAGTTATCAAAACCATCGGCTTCTCTAAATATATAAAAATGAAAAGAGAACATAGGACCCTTAGCAAATGAGGCTGGGAAACAATAATGGGGAGCCAGTAAATTGCAGAGGAGCTGATAAATATTTTGCATCATTCTTCACAGTAGAAGACACTTTTGAAAAAGACATTTGAAAAAAATATGAAATAGCCAAGGGGAAAAGGGGGAAGGAAACAAATACAACAATTATCATTAGAAAAAAAAACTGCGAGGGAAACTAATGGGTCTAAAGGCTGATAAGCCTCTAGAACTAATGGGCTCCATTCAAATGACATTAAAAGGAAGTAGCTACAGAGAAAGTGGATGCAGAGGTAATAAACTTACAAGAAACTTTAAATTCTGGAAATCTTAAATTCTGGTCATAATTGTTTACAAGATATGTTAATTACTTAGATGAGGGAAGTGAACGCACTATCACCAAGTTTGCAGATGACACAAAACAGGTGGAAAGGCAAGTGGCTAGATGACATGAAGAGAGGTTGTTTCCCCTTGTGTAGAATCAGTGGTCATAATCTCAGAGAAAGAAGTCACCTAGTTAGGACACACATGAGGAGAAATTTCTTTTCTCAAAGGGCTGTGAATCTGTGGTATTCTTAACCACAGTGGGTAAGAGAGGCTAGGTCATTAAGTATATACAAGGCTGAGGCAGCAGAATTTTAATTGGTAAGGGAATCAAAGGTGATCGGGAAAAAGTGGGAAAATAAAGTTGAGGATTATCAGATCAGCCATGAACTAACTGAATGGTCATGCAGACCTGATGGACCAAATGGCCTACTCCTGCTCCTTTGCCTGATGGTCTTAAGTTTTTTAGATAATATTAATAGGGCAATATGCTGCCTCTGCACTGTAATGTGGCTGATCTGCAAGTTGCATCATTAACATTTTATTATTTCACTCGTGGCTTGCTGGCATCACTGCTGGCCACCATTTATTTCCCATCTCTATTTGCCCTTGAGCAGGTAATGGTGAGCTATCTTCTTGAAGTGCTGCAGTCCATGATCTGTGGGTAGACCTACAATGCCATTTGAATTCCAGGATTTTGATCCAGCAACAGTGAAGGAATGGCAATATGTTTCCAAGTCAGAATGGTTGGAGGTTTGGTGGAGAATTTGCAGTTGGTGGTGTTCCCATATATCTGCTGCCCTTGTCCTTCCAATGGAAATGGTTATGCATTTAGAAGGTGTAGTCTAAAGATTTTTGGTGAATTTCTGCAGTGCATCTTGTAGATAGTATACACTGCTGCTACTGAGCGTTGGTGGTGGACGGAGTCCCTGTTTGTGGATGTGGTGCCAATAAAGCGAGCTGCTTCGTCTTGGATGATGTCACACTTCTTGGGTGATATTGGAGCTGCATCCATCTAGGCAAGTGGGGAACATTCCAGCATGCTCCTGACTTGTGCCTCGTAGATAATGGACAGGCTTTGGGGAGTCAGGAGGTGAGTTATTCTTAGCCTCAGTCCTGCTCTTGTCGCCAGTGTTTATGTGGCGCGCCCCATTCAGTTTCTGGTTATTGGTAACCCCAAGGATGTTGATACCGTGGGATTCAGCAATGGTAACACAATTGAATGTTGAAGGTCAGTAGTTAGATTGTCTCTTATCGAAGACGGTCATTGCCTGTATTTTTGTGGCGAGAATGTTGCTCGCCACTTTTCTTCCCAAGCCTGGAAATTGCCAGATCTTGTTGCATTGAACATGGACTGCTTCAGTATCTGAGGTGTTGCTGAACATTGTGCGATGAGTGAACATCCCCACTTCTGACATTATGATGGACAGAAGGTCATTGATGAAGCAGTTGAAGATGGTTGGGACTCGGAAACTACACTGAGGAACTTCTGCAAGTTGTACCTGTGCCAGTTACGACCACAACCAGCGGAAAATTTGCCCCCCGATACCCATTGGTTCCAGTTTTGCAAGAGCTGCTTGATG